CTGCAAGACATCAGACAGGTTGCAGAGCTGCAGGAGGTGTGGGGTCATCCTCCCGTCCCCAAGGTCCCAAGGGGCCCTGTACCTCGAGAGATGCTGCAGTTGCCTGTCTGGGGGTCACAAGGACACTGGTGCTCACACTGGCAAGGCCTCTGGCAGCCTGGCCCATACCAGCCAAGGGGACACTCTGCAGCGGGGAGACAGGAGGACAGAGGTCAAGGCTGTTCTTTGAAGGAAGGATGGCCCCCAGCAGTGTGCAGAGCTGGGCTGAAGATGAAGCCCCCTGCTCTCCTAGGCTGGGTCCTGAATGAGACTCAATCTGGAAATAAGGTCTATGCAATATCAGTAAGTCAAGGACCTCAAGAAGACATCACCCTAGATTTAGACCCCAGAGCCTCATTTATGACCTAGGGTCCTTATGAGAGAAGAGGAGAATGAGGAGAGAGAGAGAGAAAGAAAAAACACACGGGGAAGTGGCTGAGACCAGAAGGATGCTACCCAGCCCTTAGAAACGGGGTGCTGCTTCTAGGCGGAAGTCTCCTTTTCTGGGGCTACCAGGGGCAGTGTGGCTCCCTATATGCATGATCTTTGACCTGTGGCCCTTACTTTGAGGAATGTGCTACAGCAGACACAAGAAAATCACAGAGATTTTTTTGTGTGCAGTATTTGACCGCAGGCCCTTCCCAATAAGCTATACCTCAGCCTTTTTAAAATTTTGAGACACCAAGTTACTAAATTGCCCAGAATAAATTCAGCCTCCCAGATTATGATGGGGAGAAGGATATTACAGGTGTGTCCTACTCTACCTGGCCTCAGGCAGAGATTTACATATGAAAAGTCAGAGAGAAGAGGCATCTTTCCAAGCAGAAGATAGGACACAGGCTGCCAAAGAGCTTGGAGTTATTAGGGTCTACTGTGGCCAGGAGGGGGAACAGGGGCTCTCACCTTCACTGCAGTTGGACCCCATCCATCCAGTGTCGCAGCGGCAGCCAGCTGCCAAGACAAGACCAGGAGGCTGGTAAGAGTGGGCAGGGCGGGAGGCGGGACCATCAGTCCTAGCACCACTTACCTTCTGTGCACAGCCCATGGCCACTGCAGTTGGCCGGGCCACAGTCCAGCTCGCTGCAGGCAGTGCCCCGCCAAAAATGCCCCTCACACTTGCAGTGGCCCTCCACGCACGTCCCATGGCCATTGCAGTCAGGTGGCTGGCAGCGAGGCTCATGCACACACACCACGGTGGACACGCGGCGGGGACAGCGCCACATGTTGTCCTGGCTGGTGGGGAAGAAGGCAGCGTGTGAGGAAAGACTGTGGTGCTGGCCTGAGCTGACGCCCACTGCAGGGATGAGGGCTGCTCCTTCTTATCCTGCTCTCATTCTTAGACCCTTTCACAAACTCCTCCACTCCCTACCATTCCTCCTACACCAGGGCCTTCGCACACTGCACACTCTGCCCACAATCCTCAGGGAGGTGTTTCCTGACTAACCTCAGCCCTTTTTTACAAGTGTGAGTAGTATGGAGAACAGGGATCTCACTTCTCTTATTTAATTCTGAATTCCCATAGCTTGGTGCACAGAAGGGGCTCAATACTGCTCAGCTGGAGGAAGGTCTAGACGTTAGGATCTAGACGTTAGGATCTAGACGTTAGGATCTAGACGTTAGGTGTGCTTACCAGTGATCTGATGGGTAGCTGGCCAAGGTTCCATTGAGCACAAATGTGGCAGAGCCGCCCCCATCCAGGTTGATGGCGTTGACCACACCTTGTCTCAGCAGGAACTCCGCCATCTCCCACAGGTTGATACTGTGGCACAAATGCAGCACTGTTGAGTGCCCCGACTCCTGGCTTAGCTGAGACTAAAGGGAACCCACTGCCATCCTATTCTAATCCCCAGGGGTGAACATAGGATACTTTGCTCCTATGATCTTGCTGTTACGTGGCACAGAAGTCCTAAAGGGAGGAAGATGAGGCATTCTAGAAGAGGGACAGGCTTATGAGCCCCTGATTCTATGGGGAGACTAGGGTTGGCTTCATGGGAACATCTCTGAGAGAGGGTGGGTGAAAAGGGCATTGTTATGGGATGATACGGGACTCAGTTCAGCCCTGGAGGCCAATATCCTCAGAACTCACCCTCGCTGCTCTGTCTGTCCATCTGCGTGGAAGAGCACCAGCTGCCCATCACGGTCATGGCCTATAGCCGTCCTGGCTGACATCACATTCACAAATTTGCTGAAGGAACCTGAAGGAAGAGTGGCCTGGCTGCCAATCTGGCCCTCTAGGGGCCTCAGGACTCTGCCTCCAACTTCTCACCACATATCACTCTCCACCTCTTAGTCCAGGCCACCTGGCCTCTGTTCTGAATGCATGACAGCTTCCTCATGGATCTCCATGCCTCTCCTCTACCCTGTGCCAGCCGGCCCCTACCTTGACAGCCAGAGAGCTTGCCGTATACCAAGTGACACCAGCCTCCAATTGAAATCCTCTAACAGATAAACTCCCAGTCCTGGTATGACCTCCCAGCCTCACCCTGCCTCACTTCCTGGGACTCCCCGCTTCAAAGCCACCTTCTGTCTCAGGGCCTTTATACTTTCTGCTCCCTCTGGCTGTGAACTGTACTTACCAAAAGCCCTTCCAATGGCTTGTTCCTTGTGATCCAGGGCACTTCCTCAGTGAGGCATTCCCTGACTGTCTACCCTAAAACAGCCTGTATCAGGGTCAGGGCATCCCTTTGCCATCCCAGTATTCTACATCACAGTGCTGCCCAACTTCAGTGTCTATCACCGTGACAAAGGGGCCTCAGCTATGCATGGTTGTGCATGCCTGTAATCTCAGCACTCTGGGAGGCTAAAGGAGAGGCACTGAAAGTCTGAGCCAAGTCTGGACCATTTGATGAGACTCTGTCTTGGAAAAAAAATTAACAAGAATTCCTTAAAACACAGACTCTTGGCCTCCCTCTTGGAATCATAGTGCTACAGGTCTGAGGTTAGTGGATTCACAGTTCTGCATTTATAACAAGCTCCTGGCCTGAGGAGGCTGTTGATCCATTGACACTTTGCAGAGCTTCTCTGTTCTCACGCCTGCAGCTTCTGTCCCCATCTGTTCCTTTTCCCTTTCTTAGAATTCACTAATACTTTTACAATCATACAACTCTATCCTTTCTTCTATACCACATAAGACTACCTTGATCCCCCTGACTCCCCAGTGCCCAGAACAGTGCTAAGCACAAACCACCTGTTCAATAAACACCTGTCAAATGCCTTTTGGATAGCATCCCCCACTGTCTGGCTCCTGCTGCTGCCAATCTTCCCTCCCCCGCACCTGTCTCCTGTGTCTCATCGCACTCGGTGGCCTGGCTCTCGTTGATGTAGATGCTCCCATTGCGAATCAGCCAAACAACCCCGCTCAGCAGCTGCACAAATGGATTCTCAGTGTCCAGCACCTCTTCCTCAGACAGGTACCTGGACCCAGGGAGGGTGAGAAGCTCACTCACCTGCAGAGGCAGCTGGAGGCATGGGCTCCTTCCTTCCTCCCATTTCAGCCTGGTTTGCTCATTCCTCCTCCTGTCCTAGCTGTAGTGTTCTGGGCTTTGGAATCTCCCTGTCATCAGAGCACCGCAACAAGACTGAAGCTCTACAGGGATCTGACAGTATTCCCTGTACACATACCTTTGCAAACTGCCTGTACTTTATTTACTAGAATAACCTATTCCCCACAGATCTCAGACCCATATATGATCCTCATCTCCAGGCCGAACACTCCTTCAAAAGTACCCCATGTCTCTTAATGGCTCTTTGCCTCTCCAACCCCATTGCAAGTTCCTAAGTAGTCAGTCCTGTCACTTTCTGATAATCTTCTCTTTCCGAGAGTCCCTTACACACACTAAGCCTTTCTGAACCTCTGGGCCTTTGTGCCTGCGGTTCCTTCTGCCTGAGGTGCTTGCTCTTCCTCCAGTTCTTCAGTTTTCAGGACTGGGCCTGTTTCTCACCACTCTACTTAAAATTAGCACTATTTATAGTTGATTCGCCTAGATCACTGTTTCTCTGAACACACCATCTAAACTTTTGTTTACTTTTCCTAGTAATGAGAGAGGTCCCTTAGGGCAATCTGTGGGTGTTTGTTCTGGGTCATCTCACCAAGACATAGCATGTACTCAGTGACATAAGCTGATGAATTAACTCTGCAGGGAAGGTACCATACTGCAGACGATAAACCCAGGCTCATCTCGGTTAAGTGCCTTGAACGAGAGGACGGCGTGGCCACAACCCACATCTCAGGTCCTGTGCCCTTGACAGCCATGGAGCTCCCCGCCTCCTTACCCGGTAACCAGGGTCCCGTCGCGGCGGATCCCGAACTGCGCGTTCTGCAGCCCTCCGGAGCTGCTCACCCGCCGCCCGTCGCTCACCACGTTCCCCAGGCACTCGCCCGTGTTCATGCGGAAGAAGCCGCCGTTCTGGGCTATGCGGCAGGCGGCCGCTTGTGCGGTCTCCTCCACGGTGGCCCGGCGCTTCTGCGAGCAACCTCCGGGACCGCCGGGCTCCAACACCGAGAAGGTGCGCAAGGGCGCGGCGGCTCGGGTCAGGTGGCCGGACACTGCGCGCCCTCCAAAATGTGACACGAAAGTGCGCACTGCCGGGGGTCCGGCTCCGGGGGCTGCAGGAGGCGGGGGCCAGTTCTCGTGCTTGAGGCTCCCCGTATGCACCGGCGTGCAGTCCCGGACCGGGCGCAGGCGCGCGCGAGGGTAGGGCACCAGCAGATCGTCGTCGCGGGAGGCCCTGCGGGGACCGAGTGACAGTGAGCTCGGGTGGCCGGCCCAAGGAGCCCGGAGAACTGGCTCCTATGAACTATGTTCCACGCCCCTGGAAGTTGCACTCACCCCTCCCCGATGCCGCCGGACATTTCCCGAAGGAAGCCCGACAGTGCAAGCAGGAAGAGAAGTCCACGCCCGGTGGGGGCCGCCATGTTGGACGTGGGCCTCCGGTCACATGGGTCCTCCTCACGTGACTCCATACCCGCCCTTGGCAGCCTTGTGCTCCCAAAGTTTGTCGCGAGATCACGTCTCTGAAGGAGATTGTGGGAGGGGCTAAGGGCTGGTTGGTAAGTTTATTGTGTAATTTCAAATTTGGAGGAAGTTGCAACAATAGAATTATGTTCTTACTCATGTTTGCCAATTGTTTATACTTGCCTTAGCATTTTTACTTTATTCATAAAGGTTTTTTTTCTTGAATAGATTGCAGCTTCATTGCATTACCTGGTAGCTTTACCTCAGTACTGTGATTCTAAAGACAGCTAATTTTTTACATAACTTCAGGACAAGTAAAATTAGTATTACAGACCTTTAAGTTAGGTGGAAATTAACAGGCAGCCAGAGAGGGACCAGGCTCTAGAAGGAGTAGGTGCAGATGAGACACATCAAAATTGTGACTGGAGACGAATTAGAAGAAGAGGGCCAGCCCTGTAGCCCTCCCAAGAGATACCCAGCAGCTTGAGATTGTATTGTAATAACTACCACCTGATCTAGTGAGCCCAAATAAAATGTCACATGCATAGATGGGTGACCAGAACATCCTGAGCCAGACTCTTATCCCTTCCCGGAAATGCTTTTGATCTTTCTAAGTTAGCAACCTAAGTAAGATAAAACTTACTAATGCCCACTATGTACCCTGGTTGTGTTCCTTGCTTCCCTATTAGATCAGTATAGCTGCTATACTTCGACCTGATAGGTTGGCCTTCGCCTGTCCCAGAGTGGCCTCTAACGTGATCATTTTTGTGTATAAAAACACCCAAAGAGCTTCGGTGGTAACCCACTTTAGGGACCCCTCCTGTGTTGCAGGAGCTTTCTTCTCAATAAGCTTCCTCCTTTTAACCTCCTCTATTCTCCTATTCATTCTTTGGTTTTTAAGAGACATGAACATCTGATATTTAACAGTTGGGAGTCACTTCTCTGTGACGCCGGGATCCTTTTTAATGACAATAGTTGTATTATCTAATCACAGTTCACTTTCAGATTTTGCCAATTGTCCCTATAACGTCCTTTATATTGGTCCCCTCACCACCAACCCAGTATCCCATCTAGCAGTAGCTAGATGTCATGTCTTTTTGGTCTCCCTTAATCTAGAGCACTTCCTCAGGCTTTATCTTTTATAATCTTGACATTTTGTTTTTGCTTGTGTTTACATCTAGGCTCCAGCTTGAGCCCCTGATTCTTTGAGCCACTGTGTGATCAGGGTCCGCCTGCTGGTTTGGATAGTGTCCTTCCAAAGGCATATTCTCCCCAGAACTTAAGAGTGTGTGCTTATTTGAATACTGCTCCTTTGTAGTCCTAATTAGTTAAGATGAGGTCATACTGGAGAATGGACCCTAAATTCACTCTGATTGGTGTCCTCATGAGAAGAGACAGGGACACACACAAAGGAAGAAACATGGCCATATGAAGAGGTACAGCAGAAGCTCAAGCAATGTAAAACACAAGAAAGCAAAGGCTAAAATTGCTGGCAACCACCAGACGTGATGAGAAAGGTTTGGAACAGAGTGATTGTAACCACCCTTATTCTGGGGATTGATTCAAAGTTTTCTCAAGCTTTCAGGGCAAGCATGACCTTGCTTTGAGTTTGTTAACTAATATAGTTAAGGATCTCAAGTGGGTCTTGTCTTACTTTCTTGTAGCTGAGATACAATACTTGATACCCACAATTCTCAGGAGGAAGGTTTATTTTGGCTTGTGGTTAAGTAGCAGTTTCAATTCATAGTTGGTTGGTTCCAAGTCAGGATGTCATGGCAGAGGAGAAACAGCTCACAGTGTGGCAGTGGGAAGCAGAGATCAAGGGAAGAGGGAGAAAGGTATACTTTCCGTGCTCCTCAGTGACCTCCTCCAACCAAGCCGTACATCTCAATGTCACATTTAGGTATAAACTCATCAGAAGACTAATCTATTGATGAATATCACACTCCCATAATTCAGCTACCTCCCTAAAGTCCCACCTATGATTGCAGGAGGCTTTAAGATGATATCTAGTTCCCCAAGAATGCCTGTGATTTCTGAACTAACCATAACTTATTTCATTTAACCACATTCAAAGTGACTGTTCCTCTCTGGCCTGACACAGTTATATAGAGTTGTTAGAATTGTGCCTTTCAGGTTTTTGCATGTGGGCTGTTCAAAATAACCAACCAAGCCCAGACCAGCTGTCAATATCTGTGTCTCCCAAAGTCCTCTTTCTTCTCACAAGGTCTATAAGAGGAACAAGATTGGTCAGTCAGTGATGAACTCTGCCTTTGGGTTTCTCTCCACTTTGATGTTCACTCATCCTTTGCCCACTTGCTCTAAGCTCATAACAGTTGCTGTGGAAATCTTTCTTCTGGTGTGAGCAGCTCAAAACTCACAGTTCTAGCTAAAGCAGCTCACTGAGCCAAGGGGTTTTCCTGTCACACCTGTGTTTCAGCCTGGAACGTTTCTTACCCTTCTTAGTGTCCTCATCCACATTTTGCTCATTCATTCAACAGAATGAACTCCTCATCAGTGCTGTGTGCTGGAGAGGACAAACAGGACCCTGTCTAATGGAGCTTCGATTTTTGCGAGGAGGGAGACATAGAGCTGGCACATGGTGAGGGCAAGCGACGAGGAAGCACAGCCGAGAATGAGGTTGCAGGCCTAGAGATGGGGACTCTCCAAGCCATGAGGACTGGGCAGCAGAGAAAAAGGAAGGTCTCATGTGGGGACATGGGCCCAGAGCCTGCGGGTGGGAAGAGCCTGGCAGGTACAGCAGGAACATGGGCTTGGGGCAGGGGGCCATTTTGAAGCCCTGGTTTTCACTCCTGCTGTCTGGCCAAGAAGAAACTTGGTTCTCAAATAGGGACACCAGTTTGTTCTGGAGTCTGGAAAGCCACAGCTGTTTTCAAGAAGCCTTTTTTAGGAATTCTAACAGGACCAATGTATTCCGTGTTGTGTGGCATCAATTGCATAAAGGTCTGTGAGGGTGTTTACAGCATTAGAACCTGGCTTTGAGGTTTTAATACACAGGGTATTCTGTAGTATGCTCTGTGTTTGATAGGTGGCCCTCAGGTCCAGCTGAGCACATTAGGGACCCCCTCAGTGTATGTAGTGGTGCCAGCTGGCCAAACCAGACATCTGCTAAGACTTGGACTTTTTTTTTTTTTTTTGGCAGTATGGGAGATTGAACCTAAGGCCTTCACACTGACTACATCCCCAGTTTATTTATGTGTTTATTTTTGAGACAGGGTCTCACTATGTAGTTTAAACTAGCTTTGAACTCAGTATGTACTCCAGGCTGCCTTGAACTCACTGTGATCTTCCTGCCTCAGCCTTCCAAATGCTGGGATTATAGGCCTGCATGCCCAGCCTATATTTTTTATTTTGAGATAGGGTCTTAGTAAATTGCTAAATTGCTAGGCTGAGCTCAAATTTGGAATCCTCTTGCTTTGGCAGAGTTCTGGGATTACAAGCACATGCCACCACACCCAGTTTAGGAGTGTTTTCTTAAAAATGATTTGTAAACCTAGGTTTTCCTATAGCCACTTCCTGACATGGTTTGGTATTTTGAGCCTTCTGGAATGCATCGGCTCAGGCTTCAATGACTAATCCATCCCAAACTCAGGAAGGATGGGGTGGGCATAATTCGCTACTAATCTGTTTATGTTCCATTGACTTCTCAAAAGGTGCCTGTTTATTGCAGCAAATTTCTGCTTGTGAGGTAATTTGAAGGAAATCCTTGAAACATCCTGAGTGCCAAGTGAGTATTAAATTCTACTTCCTCGTTCCCCCAAGAAAACAGCAACCTCAGAATTATGTCAGACCTATCAGCAGAATCCAGAAATGTCTACTGGGCCTGACAATTTAAGAGTGATTGTGAGAAAGTGTCCAAGAGACAGCAGGGAGGATTATACAGCGGAGACCACCTCTCAGATGAGAGATTTAGAAAAGCCACCACCCACCTTTGCCCTTGGGTTGTTCAGCTGGGCACAGAGGAACAAGGAGCATTTTAATTTACACTCAGAGATACAGCTCAGTGAGCTGAGGTACAGAGCACAGCAGATGAGCTACAGTTGTTGTCCACCTAGAGGCAAAGCGGGGCTTATGCCCTCAAGGTCTTTCCCATCTGGTTCTCCACCCTGTAACCTGGTTTGGACACTGAACCATAAATAGCTGCTGTATCTGTGAGAAATTTCTGGAAGGTCTTTTCCCAACTGATGAACAAGTATTCAGATGCCTTCGTGCTGAAGAATGGTGAACTGGGAACTCCAGAGCCCTGAGGAGCCAGCTGGTCCTCTTGGTGCTTTAGTATATCTTCTGTTATATGTGACATTAGCAGCTTGTGGCAGCAAGCAGTGCTTACCTGGGACTTACTATGTGACAGATACTGCAAACATACTACTCCCAGCAATGGAGGTAATACTGAGGTAGGTGCTGCCATCTCTGTGTTACTGAGGAGGAAGTGAGTCACTGTGCTGGTGATACAGTGCTGGGGTCTGGATCCAGGCACGGAGCACAGTGCCACCTCACTAACTACTATGTTATACTATCTCTTAAAGATGATGTGACCATGACATGTTATGACATTGTGGCCTATGCAAGTGCTGTCCCTCACAGTCTTTTTAGCTCGTGACTCGACCTGTTCTTCTCTGAGACCCTTATTTTCTCCACTGGCAAGGATGTAGTAGTTGACATCAGAACAAATCGCCTTTGAGGCTTGTGTATGGGATCTGTGGTTTAAAAGTCTCCCCAAAACTCATGTTGCAATTTAATTGCTGCTGTAACAATATTAAGAGTTGGGACCTGCCCAGGTGCAATCGTACACATCTGGAATCCCAGCTACTTGGAAGACTGAAGCAGGAGTATCATAAGTTTGAGGTCATCCTGGGCAATGTAGGGGGACTCTGAAAAAAAGGGAGGCTGGAGATTTAGCTCATGGGTGCATCATCCCTGGGTTTGATCCTCAATTCACAGTGGGGAAAAGGAGGTGAGGCGATTGGGCTATGGGAGCTCTGCATTTCTGAATGGATTTATATCATTATCTCCGGAGTGGGCTGGTTATGAAAGCAGGTCTGGCATAAGGGTAGTCCCTTCTTTCCCTCTCTGTTTGTTCAATGCTCATTTGTCCTTCTTTGATGGCATAAAGGCTCTTGATAAATTCTGTGCCACACTATTGGTCTTTCTGGTCTCCAGAATCAACTGTGTAGACTGAACTATCAGTTTCTGCTACTTACAGAGGAATAGTGCTGTTCTGGCCTGTGGTGTTCTATTACAGCTGGTGTAAACAGACTAAGACAGTGGGTCTCTAGAATGTGTGTTGAGTGGGGATTAAGGGCTTGAAACAAAGACAGAGGATGTCCAAGATCATCCAAGGACTCAGAAATAAAACCCAACTCCTGACCAGTTGTGTGCTATGAGCATTTATTCATCTGTTCACCCCAGCCCCTCCCAGCTACCCTTCGGGAGCAGCCTGATGCAGTGACATGGGGTGGTGGCCTGCTGGCCTCTTTCTTCTGCTGCCTCCTCCTCAGGATGTGACCCGGGCCCTGGAACCTAAGGAAGAAGATCTGAAGGGGCAGCAGTCATGGAGCCGTGTGATGGTGTGGATGGATGATGCTCTCCATGCACCCGAGGCTGATCTGCCAGGAAGTAGAGGAAGCCACCCAGGGCTGCGACTGCTGTGGCAGTGCTGTGGCTGGAACAGCCATCTGGAGCGGGGAGAGAGCACCTGATGAGTGCTGACTTGGCAACTGCAGCCTCTTCTTCAAAACAACTCATGCCATCCATTGTAAAGAAAATGCTTTTCCAGTGTCACTAGGGTAACCTTCCCAGTGCCATGTGGGTGATTGGTGTCCTGTATGGACCCATTTTATTGTAAACTCATTTCCTAAAATGTGTTGGACACTTGTTCTGTGAACTGGCTGTTCCACTACTCTCTCTGCTTTTACAATGTGCTTATTTACTTTTTATTAACAAAAAATGGAAACCAGAGTCTTCTTTCTCTTCCTTATCCCTGTCTCTCTTCCTTTCTTCTACACGATTCCTTTCTTTTCCCATGTGACCATGTCTGTTCTAGGTTTCTCTGCACTACTGGGCTAACTATGCAACATCTCATCACAGCAGGATCCTTGGGGGGCATAAGGGACACTATTCCTCCTGGCCCCTAACAGAAGGTATAAATGGGCAGCCTGGGGTCACAGGTGGCATGGTCCCTGGGACTGTTTATACCACTTGCTCATCAGCTCCTAGGCTCCTTCCTGCCTTTCCTTCCTCTTAATGCTACACATGGACCTCTCTAAAATATATTTCCAGAGCACTTTGGCTCAGGTGTCTGGCAAGGTTTGTGCAATAGGAGGCAGTTCCAGATGAATGAAGAAGCTAGGCTCTGCTCACCCGTGTTCCCAGTGCCTCCTGCAGTGTCAACCTCTGGGCTTTTCATTTTTGTTTTCTGGTCTTCCAACCTCCTAAGGCACATTCCCTACATTAAGTTCCCTCTGTGAAGTTCCTGATGCAGGTTCTAGTCCCCAACCCAACTCCCAGGGAGCAGGGTTATCTTTGCACTGTTCCACTCCTCACTGAAACTTCTATGCTCCTCTGAGACGAGTTCTGTGAACAGAGGCCTCTGTCCCTCTGAAGTGTCTGAAGAGGATGTGTCCTTCTATCCCTGAGACATCAAGGCCCAGCGTCCTTGTCCTTCAGTAAAAGAGGGCCACCTTTATTAGAAGAGAAGGAACAGGCCCAGGCCTTGGCTCTCAAAGGTATCTTGGTTGCATGCCAAGAACCACCCTTGCTTTGTGGTATTGGGGGTTGAATTGAGAGCCTTTGCACTGAGCTACATCCCAGACCTTTTTATTTTGAGATAAGGTCTCCCTAAGTCACTCAGGCTGAGCTGTAGCTCACAATTCTCCTGCCTTAGCCTCCCAGATTACAGACCCCAGCTCTCTTGGGCATTTTTGTTACCTGTGAATTGTTTTTCTCGCCTCTTGACTCTTCTGAGAACATGCTGTTGGTGCAGGGGGTCTTCAGGTCTCTCTTTACCCCTAGCAGCTGAAGGACAGCAATAGATGAGCTTATGATCTTTAAATGGTGCTTGAGAAATCTGTTTCCCTCCTGACACCGAAGTGATGCAGATCTTCTCTGAAATACTGAGGCTACTCTAGAAGTTCTCTCCCACATCTTTCTGTGGATCTTTCCACATGGCTTAAATTTGTTATCTATTCATGTTTTCTGAGCTTGTGTTACCAAAACACCCATACCAGAAGTGCTGGAGCGGAATAGGAGGATGGGTGGGAATCCTTGCCCCACCCAGCTTGCTCTCTTGAGGTCTGGTGGGCCTGAGAATCTTCACACCATAAACTGTTCTCAGAAACAGTGCATTTGCTTTGAGGATCCAAGTGCCCCACTGAGGACCCTAGCATTTATTTCCAGGAAACCTGCATGGGCTAGGTGGAGTCACGTGTGCTGTCTTCCTCCTGCCGCTGGGAATACTGGCTACAATTATGCTTATCTAATTACAGGTAGAAAAACCGAGGCTCAGAGAGTGAAGCGACCTACTCCAAAGATGACTAACTGGTAAGGGTCTTATGGTTGTCAACCTCTTACCTTCCATGTCACTTCCCTGCAGAGAACTTCCCTGACCACCGCACCTGAAGAACTTTCCCCAGTGTTCTTTCCTTCTTAGCCTGTTGTCACCTCACAGCCCTTGTCAGAACTTGTCATTATTTTATTTATTGGTTTGTTTAGGGATTTGTGCCTCTTTCTCTCAGGCCTGATTTTTCCCTACAGCATAGACAAGTGTCTGGTGCTTTAGTAGGTGCTGAGTAAATGCTTGTTGAATGGATGAATTTGTTAATGCAGTTGTAGGGGCTCTCAGACTGCCTCCCATTCTGAAAAACATGGGTTCCAAAACCTGTGAGCCCATTCCTACTCTGTGTGTGTGTGTGTGTGTGTGTATGTGTGTGTGTGTGTGTGTGTGTGTGTGTGTGTGTGTGTGTGTCTGGGTGCACATGCATATTATACACCTCGCAGAGCACCTGGAACCTGTGGTCTGCCCCTCCTCCAGCCAGGGCAAAAGCACAATTTACCAGGCACTCCAAAGCATCCTTTCTGAGGCTTCTGCCAGCTCAGAATGGCCTCCAGCCACCGGAGTTTGAAGAAGTCAGAGAAGCCACCAATGCCACAGAACATGACTGGAAGCAAAAGCAGAGGACTGTGTAGGGCTGCCTCCCAGGCCTACCTCCTCCCTTCTCTGGGGCCACCGTAGTGGCACCTGCCTTCTGCCTGCGGCCTGAAGGAGATTCCATCTTAGTAACTGGGCTCCCAGTCTGTGTCCTGCCTCCCACTTAGGGCCCCCATCACGAGCAGGGAGCAGCCCAGGGCTCTCTTCTGCTGCATCGCCAAGGCTGTGGGGGGTCTATTTGCCAATCAGCTTGTTAGCCTGCCCAGAAGGCCACTGGATCAGCCTTTGGGGACATGGTCACACAGTGACAAGTAAATATAGGTTGCTGAGTTATATTTGAGTTTTTGATAAGCAACAAATAAAATTTCAGTGTAAGCATATCCCATGCTAAGCTTATCTAAGATTGTAATCACTACTTATCTGAAGTTCAGATTCAACTGAACATCTTGCAGGCTTACTTTCTTATTCACTCATGTGTATACATGTGTGTCTGCCCCCATCACAAGCACCCTGTTGTCCCAGGGCCAGAAGGCCAGGCGTACTGTTTTCCATGAAGAGATCCTGGATGAGGTAGGCATATCTGATGGCCTCAGATTTCTGGTTCAGATGCATCATGTTGGCACAGAAGATGTTGATGTATTGCTGGCTCTGGCTGAACAGTCCCTTTGTGCATCCTTTCTAGGGGACATACACCAGAGACAAGGAGTCAGTGTGCAGGAAAATACACAATTCAGTCCCAGAGAGACCTGTAGTCTGAGACAGTCTTGCAGGGGTACTGTTGGGGCAGGTCTGTCCTTTCCCAAAAGTTCTTTCCACTCACACTCCCAGCTTGCTCCAACCTTGGGGATCAGAAAGAGTTAGGTTCAGGCTCTAACTTGGCATGAACTGGGCCCAGCTCTGGAACTGCACCTGAGCATTGCAGTTTCATTGTGAGCCAACCCTGTTCCGGCTTGAGTACTACTCCAAGTGCAGACCGCAGACCTGACTAGTCACTGGCCCATGATGGCACAGAAGAACAGGCACTGAGAACAGGAGTTATCAGCAATGGTCATAGTAAGCTTTGACCTGTTGAATGTAGTAAACAGTTTGTAATTTGGCTTTTATTTTATTTACAAAAACACTGGTCTGTGCAGGTTTCAAAGAAATACTGATTTTAAAAATCCTGTCAAAGAATTTCTAGGCTATGAATGAGATTTTTGAACTAAAGCACAAGTTTTTACATGAGGTGATTCAAAATTTATGGTAAACGTTTAAATTTTAAAAATTTATTGTAATACACATTGTTACGAATCCCCCTCAAAATATTCCATCTTACTTCCAATACTTATCTCCTTGTTCTTATCACTTTCTGGGAGCCCTTTCTGTGAGGTCTGTTCATGGAGTGATCAAACATATGACAAACACAGCTGCTGAGTACCGTCCAGGGGAAAGGCAGGCTTATGAGGACATTGCCATGTGTCTTCATCCGCCTTACTCCCCAGACATGGTACTGTGCAACTTCTGGCTCTTCTCCAAAGTCACAATGACCATGGAAGATCAATGTTATGAATCAGTTCAGTACAATGGAAAAGCCACAACAGCACAACTAAAGACATGAAAGGACTTCTGGAACTGCTTCAGAAAGCAGTAAGAACGATGGGACCGTGTGTTTAAAATGAAGGGGTGTATTTTAAGGGGAATTAATGGTGATGTGTCTTATATTGTAGTACATTTTTTAAAAGTTTAGACATTTACCATACATTTCAATTACACCTGGTAAACATAATTTAGTTTGTAATTTGGTTTTTTATTATATTTTTTAAAATACTGTTTATTTTGTAGCAAATAAACAATAATCTAGAAAACCCTGTCAAGCAAAAGATTGCTGATCTCTGAATACCCTTTTTAGCACAGAGATCATGAGGTCAAACAAATTTATTTATGTATTCCCTCCCCCATCCCTCTTGCTACAAGAAATCCACCTCATAAATATATTTATGTATTTATTTTCCAGTGCTGGAGATCAAACCCAGGCCCTCCCACATGCTGAGTACATACTACCACTGAGCTATGCCCCAAGCCTCATTAAAAATATGGAGCTTTGTTGTCAGCATCATCATCATTATTTGAGATTTGGAAGAGTTGGATGTGGGATAGATGGGCTGGAGTAGGGCTGCGTACACTTCTGCCATCTGGCTTCAGTTCCCCGACCTCCAAGGACAGACCATTGCCCAGTCCTGACCCAGAACAGTGGGCATCCCATCCTGGCTCCTCAGGATGGGTATGTTGTGCCCCCCAGTGACTGAGACACTAGGAAAGCTGGGGCTGGGTACTCTGAAGCTTCTCTTCCTGAAGGCTCTGGGCCCACAACTTTAAAACCCACCCTACCTTTTGCCCAACAAGTTCAATTTGCTTTTTTAAAATGAAGCTAAAGCAAATAAGTGAACGCAAATCTTAGCATCTTCCATATTTCTAATTGTCATTTTGTGTCATTTTACCATAGAAGGTGTCACTCCACCAACAGCAAGGACACCCAGGTGCTGTTTCTCCCACCCTGCTCTGTGCCACCTGTCTCCATCTAAAGACAGCATTGCTGTCATTACCATAACTATGGCTTGACTTGGTACCCCACAGGTGGCTACCAGCCAACTTTATTCCAAGTTCTTTTACAATGATCTGTGGTTTGTTGAATTTTTTTTCTTCCTTCTCTTCTTCTGTTTTATTTCTTCTCTTTCTCATTGTTTCTCTGATGCCCTACCATCCAGTTCAGCTATCTGGCTAGTCCAACAGAATCCCTAATTTTGCCTCCCCCTCATTTGCAATTTAACCAGCTGGAAAAAAAATATATATATAATTTTCTCTCACTTTTCCCTCTTGATGGCTAAAGCACAAATACAAAACACTGCTGCTTGATTTCCTGCTGTGCAGCAGACAACTCCCCTGCAAGGAGTCTCCCTTACCTTCCCCTGTATTTCCTACCTGGCACTCACCATTCTGGCCCAGAGGAAGAAAAGCAGTTGGTGTGACAGGTAGTAGCCGGAGCATCCAGGCTTGGTCATGAGTGTCCTGCAGAAGTCTGAGAGCCCACAAGGCTGGCTGCTGGTGTTCCTGGGGGAAGCCATGCCAGACTGTTGAGGGTGGTGCTCCAGGCCCAGCCTCTCTGCCCAGCTTGTGATCCATCCCTCCCCTATTGGTTCCAGGTTGGGGACAAGTGCTGCCAAATAAAGTATAGGTATTCTCTCTGGGAGGCTGAGGCACGAGGATCAAAAGTTTGAGCCCCGTTGGACCTAAGAGGCACATGTGTAATCCCAGCATGCAGGAGTTTGAGGGAGAAGGATTATTGTGAATTCAGGGCAGCCTATGCTACATAGTGAGTACAAGGCCAGCCTGAACTACATAGTGAGACCCTATCTCAAAACAAACAAACAAACAAACAAACCAACCAAATGTACCTTCAGACCCAGCCTGTGTAACTCAATGACTTACTGAGACCTTGTCTCAAAATAAAAAAATAAAAAGGACTAGGGTTGTAGCAGTACAAATGCCCTGAGTTCAATCCCCAGTATTGCAAAACAGAACAAAATAAAACAGAGCTCCTGTAAATTGATTTGCTAAGTCAGCACTCCCACTCTGGAGAGATGACGCTGGAACTGTCCTATACCTGGGAAGCCACCAAGGGCTGAGACTTCCCAATATCACCTTTCCCACTTCAACCTTAAAGAGCAGACTCTGAACCCAGATAGCTTGGAGGTCTGGGCCCCACATATTCATTCCTCTGGTGACAAACATTTCCCATAAAAAAGAGTTCAGCAAGGGAGTCTCTACCTGGAGTGCAGGCCCTTGGGGGCTCAGCTGTGAGCTGCCCCAGACTCCTTTCTGAAGAGAGGACAGGACCTGATGTCCATTCCTCCCTAGGTCCTGTATTGGGCTGGCCTGGCCTTTTTCAAACCCAGTGTGAGGACAGCTGTGGGGTAAAGTGGGGAATAAGCTATTTCCTGGACTCACAGCCCCACTAGGGGATCAGGGACATATGACAGGGCTGTATGACAGATGAAAAGCCATCTTATTTGGGGGGCAGCATGCTGGAGCTGGCCCAGGGCAGGGAGTTGCCATAGTCTTAGGGTAAATGGGGATGGGGTGGGCCAGGTGGGATGAACAAAAGTTTTCTGGCAGTAGGAATAGTGAGGAAAGAGGCTCCAGAGACTGGATCAGAGTGGTCCAGAGTCCTGGTAGAGCTGCGGGAGCTGGGGCTTTGTCCCAGAGCCAGAGGGAGCCCAGGAAGCTTGAGCAGGGGAGTTCAGACAGGGCTAGAATGGGGTGGCCAGGCATCTTCCTGGAAGTCGTGCCTGCCCTGCACAGGATTCCTGGAGGCAGTCCTGGTGGTGGCTTGGAGATCAAGCAGGGTAGGAACCTTACGGGGAAAACAATTTGGAGTTCCAATAGGTCAGGAAATTGGGGCTTACCCTGTTCCCAACAGCAGCACTAGGCACACATCGCTGCTGTCCTCTGAGAAGGAATCCTGAAGCTCAGGCCAGGGGTAGACTAGAGAAGCATTGGTGTGGATCCAGGTGTGGGGTAGCTTCCAAAACCCGGGCTGGAGGCTCGGCTGGAACTCTGGCAGAGGGTGTGGAAGTGTGAGAACTGACCTGGAACTGAGGGCGACCTGGGACAAAAGAAATCCCCCAGGCCCAGCCAAGGACCTATCCCCACCCTCTTGCCCCATCCTGTTGCCCTGTCCATCTTCCAGCCCAGTCTCTTGGCTGGTGGTGGTGGGGATTGAAACACACCAAAAACTTCTTACTTAAAAACCAGAACAGTTTTCCCTAGTCAATTAGGGACAGTGTTGGGACAGGCCATGATGACATTTGCTGCATGCCACAGAAGTTTGAGACCTATGAAAGGGACCAATGACCCATTAGGTCCTGTTTTACAGTGCAAAGCTTGCAATATAGATGTTTGGCAAGAGGCTGCTTACCCTACTGGTCCCATTCTCTTGTCTGTAGGATGGGGACAGTTCTCACTTCCGGGTGTGTATAGGGGTCAGGTGATGGGGGGACCTCTACTGCAGAGGAGGAGGAAGGACAGGGTGGGTCGCAGAGGTGGGGCTACAGTCTGAGAATGAGGTGTGCAGTAGCTTATGAACTCCTATGTCTGTTGTGAACCCCATGGAGAGGACTGGAGCCTTGTGAGGTACTGCTGTTCTATGTATACCAATTCAGGCTAGGATTATAGAATAGGATCTTCTGTAGAGTTCCCTTGGGGCTGGATAGGAGACAGATGCTCAGCATCACAAGGCACAGGTGCTGGCAGGATGCTAAAGTTTGATGTGCAAGGGGATGACTTGCCTTTGGATTTGGCACCCTCAAAAAGGGTCCAGGAAGAAGGCCACCTAGCAATAGGTGGTGGGGACACATCCTGCGTGTCCCTCCATGTGGGTGGAACAGGTCATTGCGATTAGAATAGGATCTTCTGTTGCCCTGTCCATCTTCCAGCCCAGTCTCTTGGCTGGTGGACCACCATTCCAGGGGGTAACCTTGCTGGGCTAGCAGGAGACAAGTGTGGATCATCTCTGCCTCACTCTAAGAGGAGCCTGTGCCAGAGTCTTCTGTGACACCCCAGATGCTGTCTTCCTGAAGCAATGCCTCTGCCCCCATGGTTACCTCTTAGGTACTCGGGATCACTGAGACTCAGGTAGGTGATGGATCTGTGGAGGAGAGGAACCAGCTTGTCAGCCAGCTGCCCAGTATGCAGACTTAGTGGTTGCAGCAGGGGGTCCGATGCCCATGCCTCCTGTGCACCTCGGAGCTGCACTGTGGAGCAGAGGTTCTCAGTCACCAGTTGCTTGGCCAAGGGCTACTTTGCATAGGGCCCAGGAGGATTCCCTGAGATGACTGGAAACCAGGCCTTTGTGGGCTGGTCCAGGCAAAGAGTGGGTGGGAGTCAGGGTGTTAGAAGATGGTCACTAAGAGTTTGATGTTTGCAGGTGGGCCAGGGATCCAAATCCTGACCTATACTTTTGGGTGGTTGGCCAGAGAAGGTCATCTAATTTCTCTCCATTTTCATCATTGTTTATAAGATGAGAATAGTGAGGCAGTTGCTTCTCTGATCCGGCTTTGTAAGGATGAAATGAGCTGATGTGTGAAGATTTAGCATTACCCATTGCACAAAACAAGCCCTTGAAAAGGCGTGGTGCTTAGTATTAACTGCAGATTTGGGATCTTAAGTCCCAGGGGCGGATGAGGGAGGGCTTCAGAGATGCTGGAGGCAGTCGGAGGAACCCTTTGCTCTGGGGGTCAGTGACCACTCATCTACCATGTAGAGCATTTTTGTGGATTCCTGAAAGTACTGTGGGCCTGTGACTTGGTGTCTGCTGTTCTCAGCTGGGAAGTTGGTACAGAGAGATTGTGATTGTTAATCATTTCTTGAAGAGTTTGAGGTAGGGCAGGGTTAAGTGAAGGGGACCCTGGTATGCTTCTGGCCTCCCCCTAGTCTGGGCCTAGAGCTGAGTGGGCCTGGAGGGTGGGATGGGATCCTGGAGCTCCAGGATGTTACCTAGAAGAGCAGAGATGCGGAGAGGACAGGGGTGGCCATCTGGCTGCAAGCAGACAGACAGAGATGCTCACTGCCCAAGCCAAGGCTGATACCAAGACAGGGACTCTGAGCTGGGCATGGTGATGCACACCTGTAATTTCAGCACTGTGGGAGACTGAGTCAGGAGGATCAGAAGTTTGAGCTCAGCCTGGGCAATTTAGTAATTTAGAGAGAACTTGTCTCAAAAAAAAAAAAAAACCACAAGAGGCTAGAGATGTTGCTTAGTGTAAAGGCCCTGGGTTTAATCCCTAGTACAACAACAACAACAAAAAGGGAATCTGTCACTTTGGTGAGGGCAGCCAGCAGGAAGTGGCTCTTTGAACATGTGCGCGTGTCTCCAGCCAGCCTTGGCCTGGCTCCAGTCCCCTCTTTAAGGATCGTACCTCTGTCAAGATTAAACAACACTGAGCCCTGTTCTCAGAACCTTCAGGGGTCTTTGGCTAGCTACGGAGGAAGCCAGGTGAGAACTCAGGGTTTCAGTGTTGTTCCCAACTACCCTCACACAGCCTTCCCATAAACACCCCCTGAAAGGGCTCCCCCTGCCCCCCCTTCATGGTGTGTCAGATGGCAACTGTCAACTGGATCATTTCCTTCTTAGAATATAGTTTTCAAACCTTTTCTCATGTTGCCTTTAAATCCTTCCTACTTCTAAAGTATTTAATAACTGGCTGAGCTCTACACATCAGGAAATGCAGCCCCCTCCTCCCTTTCCTCACAGCAAAGCAGCCTATTCTGATGTCAGGAGGTTGCCAGGTCCCAGGGGTCAAAGCGAGGCAGGGTACATGGCTAAGGACTGGTTTCCCAGTGGCCAGCCACAGATTCACTCACCTTCCAGCACCTGGAACCCCACCACCCCATCCAGGTTGATTTCTGGCAGCCACTCCTCCAGGAACATGGTGGCTCTCTCCAATGCAGACAGGATCAGGCTTGCAAGGATGGCTTTGCCCTCTGTGTTGTCTGACTGTGACAGTGAGGAGGGCTGCAGGGACAGCAGCAGGAGAAAGAGCACCAGCTCTGGCCTGGCCATGGCTGACTTTCTGGTCATACTGATCACATATGGTAGCACTGGGAGCTCTCTGCCAGATGCCTTGACCCGCCCTCTGCCCATCCCCTTCCCTGTTCTCAGGACCTTCCCTGTGGGCCTGGCAGGGCCTGGGCAGAGAGGTCTGGGTAGGGCAGCTGCAAGGGATAGAAGGCTCTTGGGTGGTCATAGCTAGAATCAGGCCAGTCCTGGTCATGGAGCCCGCTGGCTGACCAGTGGTGAGAGGAATTCACCTGTCTTCTGATCCCAGATTCTCCATCATTGATCTGGAAAAGTCACTTGGAACTCAGAAATCCAAAAGCCCTGAAAAATAGTCTGTTGGAAAAGAAGTTGGGAACAAAGGCATTGGTGGCCACATCTCTCTAGCTTCTCCAGAAGGCCATGATCCTGTGGAAATAGAATTAGGCCACATAGGTAAGCCATCTGGACCTGTCAAAAATTTTCTACTAGTCACATTTCAAAAAAGCAACAATGTTTTTAATCCTAGTACCAAGAGAGGCTGAGGCAGGAGGATCATACATTTAAGTCCCACCTGGGCAACTTAGATCTTGCATCAAAATAAGAATAAAATGGGCTGGAAGTGTAGCTCAGTGGTAGAGTGCCTCAGTACCACCAAAAAAAAGTAGGTAAAATTAAGTATTTTATTTGATCTTAATATACCTAATATATTTCAATATGTAATCAATAAAAATGATTAATTTTTCACATTACATTGTTCTTTTTTCCCATAGTGAGGGGGAAAAATTGTTGAAATCAGCTGAATATTTTACACTCACAGCATGTGGTGACTGACTGGGCATATTTCAGGGCTCCTTAAGGCACATGTGGATACCACCTTGACCATGGAGACCTAGAGTCCTTATTCATCTTACCTGGCAGTACCATACATCTGTCTTCCACGGAAAGTTTAACCAGTGTTCTGCGTGCTGTCCCAAATCTTAACAGGACTCTTAGGGGTGTGTGTGTATTATCTTTTAAAAATGCCAAGGAAATAAAACAAAACCTGATTTCAGAAACATAACTGGTCCCAAGAGCTTCAGTAAGACGTACAGATGGGGGGAGAGAGAGAGATAGATAGATAGATAGATAGAGAGAGACAGAGACAGAGACAGAGAACAAGAAAGAGAGAGAGAGAGAGAGAGAGAGAGAGAGACAGAGAGAGACAGAGACAGAGAGTGAGAGAGAGACAGAAACAGAGACAGGGAGAGAGAATGAGAGAGAGGGAGAAATGTGAGCTGGGATTGGTGGCACACACCTATAATCAGCCTCTCAGGAGGCTGAGGCAGGAGAATTGAAATTTTGAGGCCAGCCTCAGCAATTTAGTGACTTAGTGAGACTCTGTTACAAGACAAAAAAAGGTAAAAGGATCAGGGATGTAATTCAGTGGAAGAGCACTTGCCTAACAGGTGTAAGACCCTGGTTTGGTCTGCAGTATTGAAAAAAAAAGATTTCAGATGTATAATAATAATGATAATAATAATGATATACCACTAAATTGTGTACTTGATGTTCCTTTCAGGGATGTTGTTAGGATTTTTTAGATGTTTAATTTCACTATTGCTCTTTCCTCTACTCTGGGAGATTTTATTAAAAATTTCCTGAAAATTAAAAAGAGCAGTTTTAATGAGATATAACTCAGATACCATAAAATATACCAATTAAAAGTGTAAAATTTTGCAATGGTTTGTAGCATATTATTTTTTCTCCAGTATTGGGGATTGAATCCAGGACCTTTATACTGAGTTACATCTCCATCCCTTTTGAGTTTTTTCTTTTAACTCTGAGACAGGGTTTTTGTAAATTACTAAGTTTCCCAGGCTGGATTTAAACTTGCAATCCTCTTGCCTCGGCCTCCAAGAAGTCTTGAAGTTGGGCAATTATCACTGTCAAATTCCAGAATATTTTCATCACCTCAAGAAGCTCTATACTCATGAGCAGTCAGTCCCCATCCCTTCTCCCAGGAGTGGGACCCGTTAATCTACTTTGTCCCTATGCTTTTGCCTATTCTGGACATTCATGTAGATGGAATAATATATAATACAAATGGAATTATATATATCTGGTTTTCCCCACTGCTTTTTGGTGCTGAGGGTTGAGGTCAAATAGGGTGAAGAGAGCTTGTCATTGAAATGAAGATCTTTTTTAGTAAGATATTGCCTTTCAGTGATATGATTTCAGTTTTAGTTGTTCAAAGATAGTATTTACCTCTGCAGCTATTTGTGGCTTCCATGAATTTTCTCTGAGAACCTCTGATGCGGCCTTTAGTCAGCCATGTTGGACTTCAACTCGCAGTGCGTGGTCAGCTTTGTGCTCCTGCATTCTCTGCAGCCAACAGCCCAGCTGGTGCAAGCTTACAATCAACCACAGCCACCCTTACGTACCACTTGGTCCTGAGGGGCCATCCATTTATTGATGGACATATAGACTGCTTCCAAAATCTAGTTATTATAAATTGTGCTGCTGTAAACATGGATATTCATGTATCATGATGTCTTTCACTCTTTCCAAAAGATAGCTAGAAGAACAGCTTGGTCAAATGGAATTTCTAGTTTTAGATTTTTGAGTCTTTATACTGACTTTTTAGTGGGTATAGTTTATATTCCCACCAACAGTGTAGACCAGTTCTTTTTTTCCCCAAAGCCTTGAAACATTTGCTCTGATTTGATTTTGACTTTTTTGTCTTTTTGAGACAGGGTTTCACTGTGCAGTTCAGGCTGGCCTTGAACTCACTTTGTAGCCCAAGCTTGCCTTGAACTTGTGATGATCCTCTTGCCTTAGCCTTCCGAATGCTGGCATTACAGGTATGTGCCACCATGCCTGGACTGATTTGATTTCTTGATGATAGCTATTCCTTCTCATGTAAAGTGGAATCTCAATATTGTTTTAACTCATGTTTCTCTAATGGCTAGCTGTGTTGAACATTTCTTCACATGTTTATTGGCCATCCATATTTCTTCTTCTGAGAAGTGTCTGTTCATTCTACTCGCCCCTTGATTGAGTCTTTCATTGAGGGGTTGCTAATTTTTTTCATTTAAAAAATATATCCTAGATAATAGTTCTCTTCTCTGAGGAATAGTTGGCAACTCCCCTGCCCCTGTTCTGTAAGTTGTCTTTTTATTCTGTTGTCTGTTTTGCCTTTTAATTTGATAGGGTCCCATTTATTGATTCTTCGTACCATTTCTTGTACAATTGGGGTTTTGTTCAGAAAGACCTTGTCTATGCTTATCCTTTAGGAGTTTTACCTATTTTATCTTCCAGCAGTTGAGTGAGAAATGCCCAACTAACCTGGACTAGCATAGTGTGAGTGTGGTTGAGGGGGTTCACTGAGGACAGAAGATTCAAACCAGAGCAAGCATAGTGCCTGAAGCTATAAAGGGAAACGAAGAAGAAGGGCTTGTTTCTGTTTCTTCAGAGGAGTCCAGTCTTCACTTTCACCCTGGCTGTCATCTCTTGGTTTCTAGTGTGGACTGTTCAGCCCTCTGGTGCAGACCCTTTAGTCTTCCCTGCCAGATTCTTCTGCCTTCTGATATGGGACACTCCACATGGGACACTACACTAGCTCCAGGCCTTTGACTGGATCCTTCAGGTCTCCAGTGCACAGACAGACCTTTTGTACTCTTCCACACCTGATTCTGTGGGGGCCTTTGTAAGCCAATCTTTTTTTGCGGGGGGGACCAGTGATTGAACTCATGACCTTATGATTGCCAGGAAAACACTTACGTACTGATCTAAATCCCTGGCCCTGTAAGCCAATCTTGTAAATTCTTCTATATTTGTATATCGTGCATTAAATCTCTTTTTCTTGTAAGACTGACTATGCAGTAGATTCATTGTTTCAGTTTTAACATTTAGATCTTTGATCCATTTTTATTCTGGCTTTCTACACAGCTCAGGCTAACCTGAAACTGACAGATATCCTCCTGCCTCAGCCTCCTGAGTGTTTTGTTTGGTTTTGGCATCAGGGTAATACTAGCTTCTAGAATGACTTTAGAAGCATTCTTTCCCCTTCAGTTTCAGTAAAGAGCTTGAGAAGTACTGATGCTACATCTTCCCTCAAGTCCTTGCAAAATTTAGCACTGTGTTCATTTGGAGCTGATATTTTCTTCATTTTCATTAAAATTTTTAAATTAAAAATTACTACTTCAATTTCACTGCCTGTTATTGGGTTAGTTAGGGTTTTATGTTTTTTATTCTGTTTTGGTAATTCATATGTATCGAGGAATTACCCATTTCTTCTGAACTCTCCAATTTATTGCCACATAGTTTTGTGAAGTAGAAACTAATATTATTCTTTTGCTGATTCCTTTCCTTTCCTTTAATTCCTTACCCTACTTGGTATGTTCATTCTATCAGACATTTTGTAATTAATAGCCTTTTGCCTCTTTCTAAGATATCCTTGAGAATTTTTAGAGTACTGGTTTGGTGATCATGAATTTCTTCAGAGGCCCTTTGTCATGGAAATATCATATGTCTCCATCAATTTTGAAAGTTAGTTTTGTAGGATATATCAGTCTGGGTTGAAACTAGTTTTCTTTTATGGCTTGAACTGCTTCACTCTATATGCGCCTGGCCTTTAGATTTGGTGTTGAGAATTTGTTGAAATTCTAATGGACCTACCTGTATAAGTAATTCATTGACTTTCTCTGACAGCTTTTAGTGAGCTTGTTTTTTTGTGCTGGACTTCTGGGATTTTGACTAAGCTATTCCATGGAGAGGTTCTTTTCTGATCATGGCTATGTGAGATTCTAGACACCTCAGCTATCTGTAAGTTAAATTCTTTCCCCTATTTAGAAAGTTTCTGCAATTATTTCAGTAAACAGGTTTTTAAATGCCATTTGTGCTGTCGTCTGATTTTTCACTAAATTCAGGTACAGTAAGTTCGTGATTTACAAACATTTCAGTTGGGAACTTTCACAGATAGGAACAGATTTGGCATTATGAACATTTGTAGATGCAAATGAACCACAGAAGTAGTTTACCCTAACCCCATACCACCATTTTAAGGTAACTTTACAACTAAAAATAGTTTATTTACAGTATTTATGTGTGTATGTTTTATGCTTTACGTTGTATATGTGTGTCACAGTTGTATAAGACTTTGTCAGACTTATGAATGAACCTGACTTATAAATGTTCTCCTGGAATGGAATTCATTTATGAGTTGCTGTAATCTGTGGCTGGGAATTTAGCTCAGTGGCATAAACACCTGCCAGGCAAGTACAAGGTCATGAGTTCAATCCTCGTTACAAAACAAAAAAAAAAGTCGCTGTAATCTTAGTCTTCTTTACATTACTTAGCAGCTGTTGGATATATTTTTTTATATTCTCTTGTTGTTTTTAACGTATCTGTCATTACCTGGTTACTGTCAGCAGTCCTGTCTACTAGTTCTGAAACTCTGTTCTTTTAGTTCTGAAACTTTTTTTTTTTTTTGTTCTGAAACTTTTAACACTGGTCACAACAGTCCATGTTTTTGTTGGGTACCTTTTTATGGACTCTAATGCTTTCCTATGCTGGACATTCATGTTTTGTATAATTTGGCTTAAATCAGCTAGTTGTGTATTGTATTCTCTGCAGACACACTGATCATTATGTTTATTATTTCCATCATCTATGTTGTTATACCTTCTTACCAAGTGCTTCATTGATCTGTGTTTTTACAATCTCTTCTGTTACCGTTTTGAATGATTCAGTTTCATTTGATTTCCTCCCTCTCGATGTCTGGTGGATCAGCTTTGAGGCAGTTGGGAGGTCTTGGAGCATTTTATTGCTTTGTCTTATGTTTCTAGCTTTAATTGATTTTTTTGTGCTGGTACTTTCAGGTTGATTACAGTTGAGGGCTTTGTTGCTAGTATTGATACCTCTTTAGTAAATGTCGTGCCTGGGTATGGCCAACTATAGGTTTTTGCCTCTGTCCCAGAGTACAACCTTCATTTATTTGGGAGGGAGGCTGCAGTGTATTTGACCCACTATCTATTTCTCCTGAAATAGGCCACACTATCGTTAATGACACAAAGGCAATCTAGATATTGGCATATAGAGAAAACCAATTAATAGCAATAACTATGTCACCTTGGCTACAGTAATAAAATCAGCAAAAATAATAGTGTCAAAAAGCGGATATTGACCTACCCTAGTGTCTTAGTTACTTTTCTTATTGCTGAGACAAAATACCTGATACTCAAATTAAAAGGAGGAAAGGTTTATTTTGGCTCACAGTTTGTAGAGGTTTCAGTCCATAGTTGGCTAACTCCAAGGCAGGGTGGCATGGCAGAGGAGCATCACAGAAGAGAAACAATCATGGCAAGCAGAAGGCAGCAAAAGCAGCAGGCAGCAAGCTACAAGATCAGCTCTCTTTCTGTCCCTTATATTGTGTCCAGGCTGTCTGCTCCTAAGATGGGTATCGCTCATACCCAGGGTAGAGCACCCTTAATCCTAGCATTACACTATGAATCAATCCCAGAATCACATCCTTAATCTCAGGATCACACACTCTAGATCCAGCAACCTAGGAAAAGCTCTACCTATTACCACAGGAGACTTTGAGGGAACCTCTAGAAACAGGCCATAATATCTTTGAACAGCCTTAACCACCAAAAAGCAATCTATATTTATAGTATAATCACTAAAACAAAGCAAATATCTACTAAATGGAATGACTTTATCTTAACTAACAATAGAACAGTATTCAAAAATAATAGCATAGAGTTAACTAGCTATCTAAAGAGTAATAAAGCCTAATATTTATAGTAATAAAGGGTGAGGGAGTGGGGAACCAAAAACTGAGAAAATTAAAGTTTGAAAAATTTATCAGGGGATGATAAGAAGGAGAGAAAAATGAGATAAGAAATCCCACTGAGGTTTAAAGAGAAACTGATAATATTAGAAAGCTGTCAAAGAATGGAGAAGGAAAAGAAGAAAAAAAGACAAAAACATCAAAAAAAAAAAAAGAATGAAGAGAAAGAAGGAAGAAAAAATAAAAACATAAAAGGGAGAAAAACTTCAACCCTCCAAAAAAGCCAATGGAGAGAGAAATTAAAACGAAACAAAATAAAACTAACTAAACAAATTTCTCTGTTTTTAAATGAGTGGTGTCTTTCCTGGGTCTGAAGTTTTGGGATCCAGCAAATTACAATTTTTTCACTCAGCTTTGGGGCCTGTGGGGTTGTAAAGTGGCCTCCCTGCTTCAGAGGCCCGTCAGTCCATTCTCCCCAGACTGCGGTAACTGTCCAAAGTGAGATGGGTCCTTGTTCACACTGGTAGATGAGAAAAGCAATCAGCCCTGTGGTCTTTGCTGCATGTGGGCCTGCTAGGCAGGGGTTTGAACAGATTGTTGGAGTTAAGGTCAACACTTGCCAGGCCTGAGTTTTGGAGGCAGGCCCCGTGTCCTTCCTGGCCCAAGTTTAAACATCTAAAAGGTCTGTGTCTTGCCTGCACACCCTCTGGGGCTTTCTCTGTGGCTGTTTTTCACCCACTGTGGGAGGGTAACATTGGAATCCCTGAAGCTGTTGGCCGTCCTTGCAGTTTCCCAAGTCTTCTAGCCCTCTTAAGCTTAATTTCTCTTCCCTGCTATTGTGTGAATTTTCCCATACCCATGGTCAATGGAACATGACTAGCCCTGCTCGGCCTCCATGGCCCTGTCCTAACTTCTAACAGCAAGATTAGCTTTTGTTTATGTAAATGAACCCTGAAATTTGTACTTTCCACATCTGGCTTCCTTTCTCAGGTGAGTTGTAATCATAATCAGCGGGGGCTGGGGATTTAGCTCAGCGGCATAAGCGCCTGCCTTGCAAGCAGCAGTCGTGAGTTCGATCCCTGGTACCGATAAAAAGGAAAAAGACATTTTAAAAAAAAAAAAATATATATATATATATAATCGGCGGTACTGGGATTTGAAACCAAGGTGTTCACACTGAATTCTATCTCCAGCCCCTATAAAACAACTTAAAAAAATCAAAAAACAAAACCAAAACCTGGAGACAGTTTCCTTAAGTTGCTAAATCTCCCAGGCTGTGCTGGAACTTGTGCTCTATGTTGTGGGCCTTCTAGAAAATTTGGAGTTACTAGTGTGAACCACCACACTTGGCTGAGATTCCTCAAAATCCTTGACTCGCTGTATTTTGAAATTATATTAGAACTCTGAAAGAAGTTCCTAGATCCCAATAAATAAAACAGCTTTATTTTAATACCAGAACTACACAGTTCAGGGGCCCTCCGGAGCCCGCACAACCAACAAATTCTCGACTTCGGAGGACTGCTCCGCATCTCCCGCAACTCCACTTAAGAGCCCCGCCCCGCCCCGCCCCGCCCTGCCCCGCCCTCTTCTTCGCAGACCCAGGTAGAGCCCCGATCTGCGGCTGCGCACAGCGTGCCTCCTCCTCGGGGTAGGGTCACGTGACCAGTCCCGGCGGGCCAAGATGGCGGCGTCCTGTGTGGCTCTGCTCTTTCTGTCCCTGTTTCTACCGCTACTGCTGCTGGGCGGGTGGAAGCGCTGGCAGCGTGGGCGCGCGGCTCGGCACGTAGTGGTCGTGGTGTTGGGCGACGTGGGCCGCAGCCCCCGTATGCAGTATCACGCGCTGTCGTTGGCTAAGTGCGGTTTCTCCGTGACTCTGCTGGGGTTCTGCAGTGAGTTCCTCAGGGCCTGGGAGGGGGGGCATCTCCGAGTGCTGACCCTTGGCCTTGACCGCCACAGGGGGCCGAGCGCAGCAGCCCTTTTGTCTTACTTGGGCTGTTCTCCCAGGCTGGAGGAAGCGGGTGGTAGTGTGGATGGGCTGGTGATAATCCCACGCTTGCTATTTGTCAGGACTGTGCTAAGCGACTCTGTTGAATGGTTTCAGCTTAATTTTAGGAGGTGACAAGACTAGGACTGAAAGGATCTGGTAACTGCATTGGTGTGCAGCTACCCTTGTCGGGCTGGCTGAGCTGACAGGCAACGTGTCTTCCCAGTCCTCATACCTCAGTGAAGGCTGGGGGTGTTTCAGTTGCTCTCATGACCAGTTTTTACCTACACTGTGCAGTTGGGAGTGTCTGCTCTTTTACTTTGCTCTAATTCAAGCCCATCTCATGGAACAGTGTGAACACTGGTTGCCTTTGGTACCTGCGTCTGCTCTCCCAGGGTGATGTTGGAGTGGGACATCCTAGGCATGCTCCTGTGATGGGAAAATTCCGTAATTCTAGAATCTAGATCAGATGGGTACCTATTGAGTACCAGGTCTGGTTTGAATACAGATGAATGAGATTTGGGCCCTCCCTATATGAACAGTGGTAAAATCTAGACAAAAATTAGTCTCATTCTCTGTCTGACTAATGATGAACAGAGAGATTTTTGAATTCTGATTTCCAAAGACACTCGCCACTATTCAGCCTAGAATTGTGGAAATATTTATGTCTAGTACATTAAAGAGGGTGTCCTCATTTACAGACTCCAAACCCCACAATGAACTCTTGGAGAGTGACAGGATTCAAATTGTGAAGTTGACCGAATTTCAGAGTCTTGCAGGTAGGATGAAGTCAACTCTAGATTCCTCTGATTTGGGGGCGGGGGGTTGGTTGTGGGAAGACCTGTGGATTGCCAGGAGCCCCTTTGTCGTGATGGGTGTTTTCTAATTTCCAGTTGGGCCCCGGGTTCTCCGGTATGGGATCAAAGTTGTATTTCAAGCAGTGTACTTGCTGTGGAAGTTAATGTGGCAGGAGCCATCAACCTACATCTTTCTCCAGGTGTGTGTCAGCCCCTGCTTTCCTCTCTGAGAACCCCTTTTAACAGTTTACTTTCTTGCTTTTATACACGTACAAATTGGCCTGAGTGGTGTGGCTCTGGTAAATCATCTGCTTAGCATTTGTGAGGTACTGGATTTGATTCCCAGTAACACACAAAAATATGCACAAATTGATAAATAAATTGCATATTCATGTGTGTGTATAAACTTTTACAGTCATGAGTAGGACCTTATGAGTAGAAGTCTGTAATTTGTGTTTGTGCTGTTTGTAGTCCCCATTCATAGTGTTTTTCTGTGTCATTACAGATGGTATCTTACTTTGCATTTACTACATGTCTAAATGTTTTACATATATTACCTTGTTAGGTCTTTCAAGAACCCTAAGAGTAGGTTCTTAGCGTACTTATACTTTAGAGACAGCAAAACTTCGACCCAGAGAAGTTGTATAAGTAGAACATCATCACACAGCTAAGAAGCGATGGGGTCAGGATTTGAACCAAGGTAGTCTGGTTCTAGAGTTATGATTTTGATCTTCACCAGTTTTTAACATCTAGAAGCACATTTTAGTGGGGTACACTGAGTTCTAACATGTAATGGAACTTGCTTGATTTCATTTTGACAGATACTCAAAATCTTCCTGAGTTTTTGGGGAGGAGGGTCTGGTGCTGGTACCTCAAGTATCATAGCCCAGTACTCTACCACATTTTCCCCAAGCTTTCCAATTTTTTTTTTAACCTTTACAACCAGTGCAACTAACAGTACAATGAAAATACATCAGTGCCACGGGTTCGGTTTTTTCATTGAGATAAATTGCTGGCTGTAGAGTTGCTTGGTCAAAAATCTATGCCTTTGAAAGTGTTGTGGTAGGATACTGGCTAGCCTAGAGTGGGGTTGGGCCCTTCTGTTCCCCACTGATGAGGATGCCTCTTCTTTGCCATGTTTACCACTGCCAATTGATGTTGGGTTTTAAAGTTTATGTTCTGATAATGGAAAAATAGCATATTTCTGTTCCTTTTTTTGACAGGGTTTCACTATGTAGTTCAGGTTGGCCTTGAAGTCACTATGTAGCCCAGGCTGGCATCAAACTCACAGTGATCCTCCTGCTTCAGCCTCTCGAGTGCTGAGAGTACAAGCATGTACCACTATGCTCAGCTTCTTCCCTTTTTTTGTCTCCTTGATTATTGACCACTTGATTACTAGACTTTTCGGGCTAGCTAATGTTCCTTTTGAGTGTTGACATATTTCTTTGGTGGCAGAGAGGTTCTTTCTTCTGCCTGTGGTTATCAAGAACCCTAATATACTTGTCTCTTTGCCAAGTGTGTGACAAATATTCTCACTCAGGTTCAATGGACCATTGTTTGGGTTTCCTCTTCTGCAGCAAGCCTTTTCCTTTCCTAGAATCCTCCAGGCCTGCCGAGCATTTCTGTCTGCTGGCTGGTGGGCTGCCTGTGCGGAAGCAAATTGGTCATTGACTGGCACAACTATGGCTACTCCATCATGGGCCTGGTGCATGGTGTGACACACCCAATTGTCCTGCTCGCCAAGTGGTAAGAATCTGGGAGCAGAGTGCAGGTACCTCCCCAAAACCCTGTGAGGGTAAATGGGAAGAGGAGCCTGGGGAACAGGGAGAGGTGTCAGTTACTTGGAGCCCGAGTCTAGTGTCTGCCTCAGTGTGTACTTCTAGCCAAAGGCTGGCAGTGGCTGTGACTTTTACCCACTAGGACCTTGTTTACTGGTAGTGACAGTAACTGTGGCAACTCTTAGCCGTCCCTGAGCACCTGTTGCATGCAGGCATCAGGCCAAACTCTTTAAATATCTGTCCCATTCATTTCCCATTGCCCCCCACTCAGGGCGTCCTGTGGTTACTGTCCTTTCCCAAGTCAGGAAAGCTAGGTAGAGAGAAATGCCGTCTCTTACCACGCAGGCAGTAGGAGGATGCAGCCCAGCCATCCTATTTCAGAATTTTTTCTGCTTCTATAGGAAAAAAAAGCTGTGACACTCTGGTGGTATTAGATACTCTTTATTTAAAATATGGAATGCTTCAGGAATTTGCATGTCATCGTTGCGCAGGAGCCATGCTAATCTTCTCTGTATTGTTCCAATTTTAGTATATATGCTGCTGAAGCGAGCACTAGATACTCTTTTATTTTTATTTTTATTTTTTTTATTTAAAGAGAGAAGGAAAAAAAAGGACATAAAACAATGCAGTAAAAGGGTACAAATAATACAGTATTTCTAGAAAAAAATATATACAGTACGAAATCACCAGTTAACAGGCTACACATTATCTTCCCAGAAACAGTTGTCCATATCACTAAATTAAAGCATATAAAGTGAACATTCATACAGTGGAATTGGAGACAGTTCTGTTCAGTGATCCAACAAAAGCTCAGTTATATGGTTTTCCGTCCTACACTCTCGAACATACCTGGAGTTATATCCCTTAGTCCATTTACTTTCCTCTCTTTTTTACAGTAACAATTAGACTTTTAGGGTTTTATTACTCTCACGGTTCTTATTACTTTTTTTTTGAAGAGAATAAAAACAAATGTGACTAAGCAAAACAGAGTCAGAACAGAAGGGTGGGCATAACACGTGATGCAAAAATAGAATACCAGGTGATCAAAAGTGATTATCATTGTGCCTCTTGCTATTTTCAAATTGAGTTGTTTATATCATCAGGTATAATAGAATTGACCAACAAAACAATACAGAACAAAACCAATAAAATCTATACTGAGGACCTTACAGGACTTAAAAAAAAAAAAAGGATGATAGTCAATCCATATTGGGCATCATAGTATATCTTATTGCCTTCAAAGTGATTGCCTATACCCTCAAACTTGATACTATCAAACAAAATAGAATATATAATAATCAGAACAAGATGGGGAGAGCAATACTGGGGTTCAAGTCAGGTTAATAGGACAACAAAAAAGTTACTATAATGTGTCCCGTTATTCTTTAATTTAGTTTTCCCTTAATTAAAAAAATGAGAGAAAATAGATTAATTTAAAAATAGGAGGAAGATTGAGATAAGAGAGGATATTGTAATAGAACAGTGCAGGGCAGAACCGAGAAATTCAAGCATCATTGTGTTTCACCACCAGGTAACATAATAGTAGTCACCATAGAGCCTCTTTCCTTAAATTATTTGAGTGTAACTTGGTGGAGCACTAGATACTCTTGAATGACTTCCCTTTCCAGTTTTCCCATAAGACCAGCGCTCCAGCCTTGGTTTGGAGCCAGCATGTGTTTCATGGCTCTCTGACATTTACTACACTTGTTTGTACACACTGAGAGTGAGCATGGCCTCCACAGTGATAGTATAGGGCAGCTGAGGTTCATATTTCTTTGTCATATTTTCCCTTTTTATTGTACAAAAGGCTGGATCTCTGGCAGTGTTTGCAGCTTCCTTTTAAAGCAACTGCGTTTAAGCTGAAAAGTGACACATGAGGAAGGTGTAAAAAAGTAAGGTGCAGAAGGACTTGGAGTGAGAACCCTGGCAGGTTGGGTGACCCCAGCTCTGTAGCCTTCCTTTGTTGAGGAGCATCGAGGCATAGGGATGGCATGGTGGCATCTGGGCCCAACCAGGATTCTGGTGACCCTGATATGTCTTTACAGGTATGAGAAGCTCTTTGGGCGCTTATCCCATTTGAATCTATGTGTGACCAATGCTATGCGGGAAGACCTGGCGGAGAACTGGCGCATCAGGTGTGGAGGGCCCAGAGTTCCTGCAGCCTTGAGGGCGGAGTGGGGCCCCAGGGTTGGTTGAGAGCTGCAGTACCTGCTGTGTCATGCTGATGGACGGTGTAGAAAAATGCCCAGGGACTAGGAGATGGTTACTGGTTTGGGGAAGCTGAGGGAGGTAGTGGGTGATGGGTACTGGTCTCCTTGCATGGCAGTTTTGATGTTAGAATATCTGTGTGCTTTTCCAAGTAATTCTAAGGGTACTTATTGTCACTGTGATTCTGCCAATGCCCTTGTTTTCCCGGGTCCTCTTGATTCCTTAGGCCTCTGCATCCTGTCCCCATCTCATTGCAGGGCGGTGACACTCTACGACAAGCCAGCGTCTTTTTTTAAGGAGACACCCCTGGACTTGCAGCACGAACTCTTCATGAAGCTGGGTCGCACCCACTCTCTGTTTAGGGCCTGGTGTGTTTCAATCCTCAGTTGTCTTTTCCTATTGGTATTTGGCCTCTCCCTTGTCTCTCTGCCATCTTGGTGGCACTAATCCAGGAAATGGCAAAGTAAGGTTCAGCCAGCCACCTGTTTCTGTAGTTTTGTTGAAACACAACTCAGTCACACTCCTTTATCTGTGGCTGCCTGTGGCCTGCCTACGGCAGGGGAGCTGGGTTTTGCAACAGAGACTGTCTGGCCTGAAATGCCTGAAGTCATCACTCTCTGGCCCTTTAAGGAAAGATTGGCTGAGCTCTGCGCTCCCTTAGTCCCCTGCCAGAGGTTCCCTTGCTTGTGGTAGGCTTGGTCCTTCGTGGCTTCTAGGTATGTCACCGGCTAAGGAGGGGGATCCATGGCAGCCCTCTGCACGTCCCAGCTCTGTCTCTCCATAACCCACATCCTGATGTTAAGGACAGAGCAGCGAGCCCTGTGGAGGTGCACACCAATGCAGTTGCTTTGTGGCTTTAGCACCCAGAAACAGACGATTGTTTGGTAGGGTTGGCTGGGTGCTGACATGGCCTGGCACCCCAGCCTTGGAAGCCCATGATCCACACTGTGGTGGGAGGTGGCTGTGTTAGTTTTCTTGTCAGTGAGCCACAACCTGATAGCTAAAATTTAAAGAAGAGATTTAATTGGCTCACAGTTTCAGGAATGTCACGGCGGAAAGGTGTGGTGGAGGAACACTGCTCAACCTAAGTAACCAGGAAGCAGAGAGGGAAGGAAAGAGTCGAGGAAGCCCACCCCCCTCAACCCCAGTGACCCATCTCTTCCATTGAGGCCCTACATGCACATTTAGCTATGAACTTCTCACTGGATCAGTTCACAGACAAGTATGGTGCCCCATGATTCAGTCACCTTCCAAGAGGTGAAAAACATGAGAACTTTGGGTGCGGGTTATTATTTTTAAAGTTTTATTTATATTAGTACATGTTTATAGTACATAATGATTATGTGCCTCATAGGGAGATGTGTGTAACACATCCAACTTCTTTTTACTTTGCTTGCCCCTCTATTTCCTCTCCTTTCCTCTTCTCTTGATATTAGTCCCATTTTCAAAAGTTCTATCTCCCAGTTTCCTGTTAGCTAACATTTATTTTGCTCTTTGTTTATACTTTGGGTTTATCATATAAGAAACTATGTGATATTTAGGATTGAGTATCTGATTTATTTCATGTAACATTATGGTCTCAAGGTATTTCGGGGGGCGGGGTGCATATTTTACAACCAAACCCCAACGCAGCTGTCCTGGCCCATGGCCTGTTCTGCAGCTTGTCACAGATTTTCTCTTCTGTTGTAGCTTGGAGCCCTCAGACCCAACCACAGAGAGGTCAGCCTTCACTGAGCGGGATGCTCAGACCAGGGTGGTGACTCGTCTTTGCAGGCGGCCAGCACTGCTGGTCAGCAGCACAAGCTGGACAGGTTTGTCTCCCACTCCCGCACAACTGGGCACCTGGGGGGCCTGTGTTCTTGTTGCCTGGGAGTAAGGGGTGGTATGGGAGCAGGGAAAAAGGTGTCCTGGGAACAGGGTGTGAGACTCACTTCTCTTCTTGCAGAAGACGAGGACTTCTCTATCCTGCTGGCAGCATTGGAAAGTAGGTGTGTGGCTGGCACTGAACCCTGCGGTCTGTCAGGCTGAGCAGTGAGCTCGCCTGGCCTTGCAGGGTGTGTGGTACGATTTAAGTTCCTAACCCCAAGGTCATAGGTGGACTGCCTGAGGACAGGGTGGGTGTGGTGGGAGGGGTGCAGAGCTGTGTTCCCATGGGGTGATTGAGCGATGAGGTCCTAGGTATAAAGAGCATCTCAGGTCGGTGGTGGCCCCCTCAGCACACCCTGGCTCCTCACCTTCTCCTCCCCTACTGAAGGGAATCCTGGGTAACATTTCTTTATTTTTAATACAGAGTTTGAACAAGTGGCATCTGATGGAGACAGCCTTCCTTCTTTAGTCTGTGTGATAACAGGTACTGCCTAGCATCCTCAACATCCTATATTGAGGGAGGAGCCCTTGACTGCCAGTATTTAGGTGGGGACTGTGGAGGGGGTGAGGACAGCCTTGATTGAGCTCCCCACAAGGCAGTGACTCATTAATCCCACACTAACTCTCTGGGGATGGATTTTTTTTTTTTTTTTAATCAGTACCAGGGATCAAACTCATGATTGCCTGCTTGCAAGGCAGGCGCTTATGCCGCTGAGCTAAATCCCCAGACCCAGGGAGTGGATTTTTAAACAGTGCCACGGATGTGACCTGGGGCCTTGTAAAGGATAGGCATGGGCTGTACCACTGAGCTATATCTATAGCTCCATGGTAGGGTTTTCTACATTTTTGACAGAGGGGAAGCTGAGGCTCAGATGGCAGTGCATGAAGTCTGGATCGGAATCTCACAACCTTGGCACAGCCTTACAGATGCCAAGCTTTCCACTTTTCCAATACTTTCACAGCATCTCTGTAGTTCTAAAAGCAAAAAGGCTTCAGTTCCACATAAAACTGCTTGTATAGCCACAGGATGAAAGAAGCAGAAGGACTGGCCAACCGCCCTGTCCTGCTCACCCTCTTCCTTCTGACCCTGGCTCTCTGATGTAGGCCTGAGACCCAGTGTGCACCAGGGACCCTCGTGGTCAGGAGGCACACCTTGTGGGATCTTGGGACTCTTGAGGAGGTCTTTAGAAGGGAGGAATGCCCTTCTAAACAGACACACACACACACACACACACACACACACACACACACACACACACAGTTTCCTGACTAGGAATCACACACACACACACACACACACTTTCCTGACTAGGAATGCCGAGGGTGGGGCTCGTGGGAAGTGGCTGCTGTGTCCTACTGGGAGTATTTGGGCCAGGGTCTTGTGGCTGAGACAGTCAGTGCAGTGATGCTTTCCTCTGAAGGCAGAGGGCCGCTGAAGGAACACTACACCCGCCTCATCAGCCAGAAGCGGTTCCAGCGCATCCAGGTCTGCACCCCATGGCTGGAGGCTGAGGACTACCCCCTGCTTCTAGGTGAGGGGGGTGCACTGGGGAGGCAGAGGTATCTATTCGGGAGGGCCCAGGGCAAGGTGCATGTTTTACACAGTTCTAAGGCATAGTCTTCGGTTTTCTTTATAGCTATTAGAAGTGCAAAAGCCATTCCTAGTTCAGGGCCTCCAGCTGACTGGGTGCCATTTTGGCTGGGGCAGTGTGCTGAGAACCTCAGGCTCAGTTCTGAGTCCATTTCCAGGCATACTCATCCTCCCTCCCTGGGGCCAAGGCTGTTTTCCAGCAGGTCTTGAGAGGGTCGAGAGCTCTCCTGGCCTCCACATCCTGGTTTAGCCCAGCAGTTCCCTCTGTGGAGGCCTGTGCTGGCTTCTCCTTTCCCAGGTGCTGGGTCTTTTAGAGAGCGACCCTCCCTCTCCTCCAACTTGTCTCCAGCAGGCTCAGTGCTGCCGTGTCAGATGGCTTCTTCCAGCAGCCAGCAGCCAGCGAGCAGCTCACTGCAGTGCTGGCTTTGTGGTTTAGGTTTATTTTCACACTGAAGTCTGATTTCCATTTGATCTGCTGTATGTTTTTTTTTCTTTTTTTTTTTACATTTGTTTCATTATGCTTTTACTTTTTTTAATCATCGGTTCATCTTTAAAAATTATTGCAGTAAAACACAACAAAATTTTCATTTAGCCACTTTAAGTGTATACTTATTGGCATTTGTTATACTCCCTCTGTCCAGATGTCTTTAATGACCTTGACAGAAAGTTTTTTTTTTAAGAATGACAGAGTTTTTTTAGGGGGTACTGGGGATCGAACTCATGACTGCATGCTTACAAGGCAGGCACTTATGCCACTGAGCTAAATCCCCGGCCCCTAATGGTGGTACCTAGGGCTTTATGCATGCCAGGCAAGTGCTCTACTACTGAGCTTCATCCCCAGTTATTTTAAAATAAATTGTTGCTAAAAGAAATAGTGAGACATCCTAAAGCTGGGTGTGAGGGTGCATGTGTATAGTCTCAGCATTACAGGAGGCTTAGGCAGGAGGATCACAAGTTGGAGTCCACCAGGGAAACTTGGTAAGACCTTGTCTCAGAAAAGAGGGGCTGGGATGTAGCTTAGTATTAGAGAGCCCTTGGACTCAATTTCTAGTAACACACACACACACACACACACACACACACGAAACTGAAAGGAAAAGTGAGTCATCGTGAATAAAAATATTCAGGCATTTTCTGATAGGGCTGAATGGTTGGTGGCAGGTGGGCAACACTGCCATCTTCTAATTATACCCCCCCCCCCACCTGTGTGTTGGTTGGGAATGTTCTGTGATCTCCACTCCCCGAGGGAGGAGTCGCTGTGTGGCCCTAGGAGCAGGTGTTTCCAATGCTCTTACCGTGTACCTTTTCTGCCTCCAGGGTCTGCAGACCTGGGCGTCTGTCTGCACAAGTCCTCCAGTGGTCTGGACCTGCCCATGAAGGTGGTGGACATGTTCGGGTGCTGCTTGCCTGTGTGTGCTGTGAACTTCAAATGGTAGGTGTGGACTGGCATCTTCCTGAGGTCAGATCCTCAGATGGACATAGCTATAGCTGCTGAGAGATGCCCCAGCAGGGTGCTGCCTGTGGTGCAGCTGAGGCTGGCCAAGGAACTGGACCCTTCTGGTTCCTGTGGTAGGTTTGAACCCCATGGAAAGACAGTTAGTCTTCCTTATCTGTGGTTTACCTGATCTATAGGTTCAACCAAGTGGGGATCTGAAGCACAGCCAGGCTAGTGGGGTTACAGCTTTTCTGAACATGCAGACTTTCTCTTGTCCTTATCCCTAATCAATACAACATAAAGCTGTTTACATCATATTAGGTATTATGAATCACCTAGAAATGATCTGAGGTTTGGAGAGGGACATGCTTAGGTTGTATGCAGATACTGTACCATTTTATGTAAGGAACCAGGATCATCAGGGGGTATCCCAGGAATTCCTAGAACAAGTCCTCCTTGGATACTGAGGAATAACTATAGTTGGCTCATATGAATAAAAACATACATGTGTTAAACGTGCACCTCTCACTGTTGTGCTCAGAAAAGAGAATAATGGCTAGATTTGCTGTACAACATATATGGTTTCCTCTCATTCCTGTCCATTTTAGCTGAGTTCTTGTAGTTGGGTTGGGATCAATTAGAGGTGTGTAGTTCTGTGACTCGGTCTCTCGGGATATTGGAAAGGACAGCAGCAGATGAGGTTCTGACAGCAGTGGTCCTATGGGCCATGTGCCCACCTGCTCAGAGACCTTCCACAGGATTAAGATTTTAGGGTTAAGATTTTAGGCCCTTGTGTGAGCTGAGCTTGGGGTCTGTTGGGGTCAACCAGCTGGTAACCTTAGAAAGCCATTCCTAAGGTCCTGCCTTGGCTTTAGCTCAGGGCACAGAGTAGAAAAAAGATGCAGAAATGATTCTGGAGATATGCTGTCCTTGAGTGAATGGTCCAAAAGGGCCAAATGCCTTCAGATTGGAATGGCATTGTGACATGTGTCCTTCTAGGCCTTTTCTGTACAAACACTGGATCTCAGGTCAATCTCACTGAGTCTGATCCCAGTCTCCAACCTGAGTGGGGTGGTGGGGAACACAAAGCATGGGATCCTCTTGGGCAGCTCTCAGGCTTCCCTTACTTCTCTCCAGTTTGCATGAGCTAGTGAAACATGGAGAAAATGGCCTGGTCTTCGAGGACGCGGAGGAACTGGCATCTCAGCTGCAGGTAATGTGCCTGCCCATGCTGCAGCTTGGAGGGTGGTGTGGAGTCTGTTCCCTGCCCCCACACTCGCGTGGCATGGTGGGGCTATACAGGGTCTGGAGGAAAAGCAGAGAGGCAGGCACATTAGCAGAGGCCCCAGAGGTGGCCTCCCTTGCTGTTGTGCCATACATGGATCCAGTGGGTGCCAGAAGGTCAGGGCAGGTGCTGATTGGGTCTGTGGAGTTGATACCACACAAAATACGGATGTACTGCCATTTAGGGAGTGAGCAAGATCACAGCTTAGAGCTTTGTGGGCCAGCCTTGCAAAGGGGTGGGATTCTACAGAGCATATTTTCTTGTTATAAAAAGCAATGCACTGTCATTCTTGACATTGAAAGATCTGTGGACATTTTTTAAAAGGTCTATGTAGAAAACATTTCAGGCTTTATCCTGCATCTCTGAGAGCCATTCACCCCACTGTTACATGGACGCAGCTACCAGCCATCTAGACAAAGGGGCAATAGTTACTTACCAAGACAGGTGGGCTGCCGTTGGCTTGTATGCTACAGTTTGCTCATCCTAATATAGGAAACAAAGCCCAGACATAGCCTGTTCCTTCCTGGCAGGTGCAAGAACAGCAGGTTGAGGCCAGGTCACTCTGGGCCACAGGGTGTGGGAAACTAGAAGACAAGCCCCTTCAAAGGCCCAGGAAGGAAGTGGGGACTTGAGGCGGGTGTTACTGGCTGGGCATCCTATAGCCAGAGCTGATAGCCAGGCAGACAGGAAGCTGAGTCTGAAGACAGAAGCCCTAGCATGGGCTGGGGTGTACTGATGAGCTAACTTCTGAGCTTTATTTTCCTATAGATGCTTTTATCCAAGTTTCCTGATCCCGCTGGCAAACTAAACCAGTTCCGGAAGAACCTCCGAGAATCAGAGCAGCTTCGATGGGATGAGAGCTGGCAGCGGACTGTGCTGCCTTTGGTTATGGACTCGTGATCCCATGCCCCTGAGTGGGTTTTGCTGGATGGTGGAGGTGCAGCTCCCTCTTGTTCACCCAGAAGATGTGAGGGCCTCCCCTGTGCACCCTCCCCTGCAGCCGTCCTTTCTTTTTTGAGCAGCACTCCCTTCAGTGGTAGAAGCCAGAGGACTGCAATGGGTGCTGCCTGGGGAGGGACCAGGAGACTGACTGGTCCACTGTGGTCTCTTTAGGTGCTGAAACTACTCCCTTCTTCTGTTCTGATTGTATTGTTTTTTTGTTACTTCTTGGGATCCTTCCACCTTCTTTTTATGTCTTTTTTTTTTGTCTTCTCTCCCAGCTATTGTGTCCCTGCAGCCCCAACACCTCCCTGGAAACAGTCCCTCTGCTCTAAGACAGCAAGACAGCACATATTGTCTTGGCTTAGTGAGGGGCTGAGTGCTCAGGCTGGGGAATTACACTTGATAAATACATAGTTTTATTCCTACAAACAAAACACTTGCCTTTGAGCCAAACTGTGTTCCTCATGGGTAGTGGTTATGAACTAGAACTGGACAGAAAGGGGGTACCTATACACTTAGTTTGTACTTCATTAGAATGGGTTGGGGTTCCTCATTTGGAATTTAACATTGTTCAGACACTCAAGTACAATGAAAGTTTTATCAGCTTTCATACATGAAAAACTTCCCACAATACAGATTTATTTTTCATAATAATCGTCCAGACTGTTGGTGAGACCTACAGTATGAGTTTCAGGATAGATGTCTCTAAGTACTCTTCATATGGGAACAGCTTCTGCTCACGAGGAGGCACCACTTCCCACTGGATCCTGGCCTGGCCTGGAAACACAGCACATGTGTCTGACGATGGAGGTGGTGTTGGGGACAAGGCAGGCATCTATCAGTACAGGGGAGGTAGGACGGGCTGTGGGTGTGTCTGAGTTGGTTTGCTTGGTTCATAGATTTCTAGGCCCACCTTGATGCCCAGAGGCAGCTCCAGGGTAGGACCAGGACAATAGCAGTGACATCCAGGTGTGGCCCCATGCCCACCCTGCCTGTCCAGGGTCCTTACTGCTCTCTTATCTCTCTGTCAGTCAGTTGGCACAGGAGGAGAGGAGCTGAGAAGTGAACCTTATCTGCCTGACACCTTTGCCAGCGCTCTTCCTGAAGGCCAGAAGGGCTCCTGTCATCTATGCACACAGGCTGGGGAGCTTCTCACCAGGATGGTTTCCTAATACAGTTTCTGTTACAGATGAAGGGTTAGCATTTATAAAAATGAGATAGTGTAGTATGGTCCCACCATCCAAGTGTAACTTGGTGTATATTCTAGACATTGCCTCAGGTCTAGGAACATGAAGAAAAATTGGTTTTTCTGCAGTGCTGGGGATTGGAGCCAGGGCCTTGTGCCTGCTAGACAAGTGTTGTGCTGCTGATCTACACTCCTACTCCCACAGAAACACAGTGAATAAATATAAGCTTATTTGTGCTGTTTGGTGTGTGTTTAGTGGGGTCCCCCCTACTTATATTTATGGTACTTTGTTTCTGCATAAGTACCCAATGGAGAACCTCTTTCTTTGTTAGGGCTGCAGAGTTCTCTCCGATAATTACTGGGAACTCATTTGTCTGTTCCATGATTAATGTGTGTGCCCCCCATGGATGTGTGGCTGGTGGCCCCTGACTCCCAGCCTGCAGCTGTGGACAGCTGGGAGAGGCTTTGCTGTGGGGCCAGCAGGGACAGCTCTGCACTGCCCTGGTTGGGCCTGGTGTTCTCTAACTGTAGGCAGGTGGTTTTGGGTGGGTATCTGGCTGGAGTACATGGGGGCTCTGTGGTCTCCTACCTTCCCTGTGGCCCAGTATTTTCAAATGTGAGACAGGATAATGGCAGGGCTTCTAGATGTGGCTGACAGGTGACGAGCTTGAGGATGGTGCCCAGTCCACTGTGGTGCCATTTCAGGATTGTGCAACTGATAGGCTCCTTAGTCCTCTACAGCTGCCTCTTGCTCTTCCCTTGATTGGGTGCCCACAACTGCAGCTCCTACACTGTTACATGTGCCCTGTGTGCTGAGTGTGGCCCAAGTGTGACCGGCTGTGTGTCTGAGGTGATGTGTCGTGCAGCAGATGAAGAAAGATGAGTGTATGGAGGGCACTGACAAGGCGGGATCCACCTCTAAGGCATGTGTTCAGTAATTTCACGGCTAAAACCTTTTCTAGCTCTGATTCCAAGTGGCATGTGCCACCACCTCCATCTTATAGATGAGGAACAGGCCCTGCAGCTTATGAAACCTGAAACACACCTAGGCTTAACAAAACAAAACAAAACAACAAAACCCACATCCAGGGACACAGGTGTTAGGCCCCTGGTCACCATGCTCCACTGCCTCCCACAAGCCTGCTCAGTGGCCCTACTTCTCCCTGGATTCTGGTAGTTGTGTGGATTGGGACCTCCTGGTTTTTCCCTGGGGCCTCCTTTGACTTTCCTGATTCCTGCTTTACTGGAGCCTTCATGGTACAGCACAGCAGCCTGCAGATCTGGGTCTCACCTATCTCAGTGATAAACAGCTGGCATGTCTCTGGGTTGCGCAGAGTGAAGGCCACATAGACATCAGGAGCCTGGTTCCTGTGGCAGGATGCAAACTTCTGCAGGACTCCAACCAGCGAGAGGATCACCTCTGGGCAATACAGTACATCTACAAGGAAACACGTAGGTTACTAAAAGTGCTTCCCATTAGGATTGGGAACTAAATGGCAGGTTCCCTCAGCTCCAGCACAAGGCCAGGTTTCCCACACCTACCAACCAGGGAGTATGCTGTGTCCCTGACTGCCGAGGGACTTGAGTTTGAAGGCTGAGTGCAGGAGGGGAATACGGGGATTGTGGTGGCCCAGCCAAACTCTGCTTCTGGTACCCCATTGTTGTACCAGATAGTGCTGGCTCCCCCATTTGTGAAAGACATGGGCCTGGATCTCAAACAGGTGCAAGGCGGAAGCCAGGCTAGCACTGACCACAAGGGGCCATTTAGGTCCTGTTCCCTGGCTTGATTACTGTGGTCTCACCCTGGCCTGGCCCAGGACTGGGTGTTGACAACTGGTTGTTAGTCAGACATAGGCCTGGCAAGATCGTGCTGCTCTGTGGCCCTGGAAAGACCCAGAGCTGTGTGGTCAGTGGCAGCTGGCATCTGAGGCCTGGGTGATGGCATGGTCTGTTGGATCCTGGCTGTGAAATGAAGGCATCTTGGGTTATGGGTGGTATATGGCCCATCTGTCCCGTGGAACTGGATGTTAACTGAGTGGCCTCTTGGGATGCTGAAAGGGACACAGACTTGGCTTGGCCGCAGCTGGGTGAGGGATTAGACTGGTTTGGTGCCTTGGGATAGTAGGGTTGTTCATCTGATAAAAGTTATCATCACAGGGGCATGCTTGTCTCCAGAGGAGCTGTGGATTCAGGATATTCAGGAGGTACCTAAGCTCTAATGTCACCTAGAGGCCCTGGAAGTTCCTGACTCGCCTCCCTACTCCTTGAGCCTGCTGACTGGCCATTACCTGCTGCGATGATAATGTCGGGCTGGAAGGCAGAGAGTTCAGTGACAGTGGCGACCTCCCAGTCCAGCTGGGCTACCGTCACAAGGGGTCTCTCTGCATCTGTGGTGGCATCTGGTTCTAGTGAGAGGTCATTAAGCAGCACATTTCCTCGAAGCTGCTCAAGGACACGGCTGTGACAGTCGCTGAAGATGTATGCTTTGGGGTGGCACATCTTGCAAATAGCCAGTCCTGTGAAGCCAGCTCCACTGCCCAGTTCAAGAACAGTCCTGGGTAGGAGAAAGGAGATCCTGTGTCTGTGACCATGCCAGGGCCCACCCACCTCAGTGCCCTGCTCTGTCCCCCAAGGTCACCTGTGAGTGAAAACTGCTGGGTTCTCAATGGCCCATTCTGCGAGGTATAGGGCGGCATCCCAAGTGACCAGGCCTGTAGTGCCATGGGACACGATGGCCGTGCTCTCAGAGAGTGTGAGTGGGGTTCCGGAAGGCTGTGCCGAGAGATGGCAGGAGAATTAACCCAGTACATGGAAGTAAGTGGGCAGAGTAAGTCTTAAAGGGTGGGCTGGCTAAGCAAACTATGGTATATCCACATGGGAAAGCACTCCTCAGTAATGCAAGGGTTACACGGTGGACACACACATTAACAAGGGTGGGTTTCCAGGGTGTCACGTTGAGGGCAAGAAGCAGCCAACCTCAGGTCATATGCTATGTGGCTCTGTCCATCTAATATCCTAAATGCCATGAATGGAGAGATGGCTTGGCGGTGGAGTGGGTGTGTCTCATACCAGCAAATAGCTCCGGTAGCACTGGGTGGACTCCTCAGCAATCAGGATCTTTGCCAATGCCTCATATAGCTCATCCAAAGGCTCTGTGTGGACAGCCTCATGCTGAGGGTGGACAGGGTAAAACTTCAGTCAAAAGGATCAAGCCAACCATCACATATAACACCAACATTCTGTTTCTTTGCTGTGAACTGTGAACACAGCTGGATGATTTTCACATTTATGGCAATGGGGTTGGAACTTAAGGCCTTGCACACACCAGGGACATGTGCTACCCCTGATCTACACTCTCAGTCCAATTTTGACAAAACTTAGAGGGATATCTGGGATGAACAGAGGGCACCTGTTCACTGGAGGTGATGAGGAGGGGACTTCAAAAAAGATATAGAGGGGTTAGGGCAGGGATGGTCTAGAACAGTACACAAACTCCATGAGAGCTACCAGTGGCTGCGGGATAGCTCTAGCAATCTTGGATGGAAAACATATTTAAGTCATCCCTGGAAGAAGTCATAAGGATGGGCACCCCATGTTGCAAGATGTGGGTTTTCCTCCTGTATCACTCCCTTCATGGGGCAATGTGGAACTCATTTAATTTAATGACTGGCCATCCTTTTCTAGGTGGTGCTGGGGAGACCACAGAAGTGGGGCCTGCGAGTGGGGATGACAGAGGTGCAAGGATTTTGTGTACGCTGAGTCCAGTGAGGTGTGGCCTTTTTGTTTAGGGCTTGGTGAAAACAGCACTGCTACCACCTACAGAGGAACCCCCTCTGATGTCTGTTGGTTTGAACCCAGCAGGTTATACCTGTAACAGGCTGGACAACAGCCCAGCCAGGACTTCAGTGAGAATTTAGTGATGGAATGGGTTACAAAGGTACTGCAAAAAGCTCAGACTTCCAGCGAGGGCCAAGGAGCCACCCATAGAGAGACTGGTGAGATCAGGGCACTGCCAGAGCCTGCTGAGCTGGGAGGGAGAAGAGACGAAGGGGCTTCCAGCACTCAGGGCCAGGACTTGCCTGGTGGCAGAAGCGGACTGCAGAGAAGATGTAGCTGCAGCTGTGATCCCTGTCCTGCCTCGTGTTGGTCAAACCCCTTGAGCACTGGATGCCACAAAGGAGTTTGTGAAGCAGGCAAAGAACAGGGAAGAGTATGTGCTTTGATCAGAAGAGCTGGCCACATTTCACATGTGGTCAGCTCTGGACAGACAGGATCCCACTGACCTTTCTGATGAGCTCTGAGAGAAAGCACCGGATATACTTTACTGAGGGTGGGTGCTGCACGCACACAGGATGTTTCACAGTCTACGACAAAGGACAGAAATGGTTGTTAAGTGTCCCATGAGCTATATGAGATTAGGGGTGAAACTAGTTACTAGTGCCTTGGCAAAGATGTACAGGGACACAGGATTATGGCTATGTCCACCACAAGCATCTACAAGACCAACTCTTAAGATACAAGCTCTTTCCTGAAAACATCAACATGCCATGAGGACTCTGTACCTGTAGGCCAGCTCCCCGATTCAGGGTAGCTGAAACCAGAGTCTGTAGTGAGGATAATCATTAGAGAGCCTGGCTCTGCAAGAAAGAGAACAGCCCAAAAGTGGGTACCAGGTCCGTCAGGCACCTGCCCTCCTGGAGTGAGAAGGGTGGCCATGGCCACTCTTGCCATGGAGCAGAGTGACGGATGGATGAGAACCCAACAGGACAGAGGACAGGGCTTTCTCTGGAGTGGGGGCTGGGAGTCTCAGGACAGGCCTCAGTTGAAGCCCTGAGAAGCCAAGGACAGGAGAACCAAGCTCCAGATAGCAGCAGAACAGAGAGGCCAATGCTGAGGCAGCTCCTGCCTGGCATTTTGGCAAGGAGGGTAGAGGGCAATGGGCCTAGGGGAGAGGTGGGGTACTGGATGGGAGGGATGCACACTTTCCCCAAAGGCCACCGAATACACATGCAACCCCCAGAGACTGCCTAGTAGGTCTAGGTTATGATTCATTTCTAACTTTGCATAGGTTTAATGGACAGCTGTATAATCGTATTACTTTGCATGCTAGGGATTGAGGGCAGGGAGCAGAGACATACTCTCAGTTATACACCTTCTACACCCCATTTTATTTTTTTAAAGACAGGGTCTCACTAAGTTGCCCATGCTGGCCTCAAACTTAGGATTCAAGCGTCAGTGCTTCTATTTTAAGGTTTTAAAGTGGCTCTCTGTGCTTTATGCTCTCCATGCCTGGCTGCACTGTTCTGGGAAGAAATCACGAGGCTGCAAGATGAAGCCTCAGACATTCCCTCACTCCCAGTCCTGACCTGCTGCAGCATCTCAAGGTTTCCCTGTGCTCTGGTTTACCCACCAGCACAGGAATTCTTGACCTAGGCTTCTTGGACAGGTATGGTAGCAGGGTACAAATGTCTGTGTCTCCTCTAAATTTGTACAAAAACATATTCTTCTGGCCATTTCTTTCTTGGGAGGGAGACCACCTTTCTTACAATCTGTAAGAAAGTTAAGGGCCAGGATGTTTTGTTTGACATTTCTTTTTTTTTTTTTTTATTTAAAGAAAAGGAAACGAAAAAAAAAAATACATGGAGATAAAAAAAAAAGGGTAGAAATAATACTAAATTACAGACAAACAAAAGGTAAGAAATTGCCGGTTGATAAGTTACAAATTGTCATCTTTGAAATGGCTGTTCAGGTTATAGAATTAAAGTATTTAGAATGACATTCAAAAAAGTGACCCTACAAACCATTCTGCTCTATGATCGAACAAAAGCTCCGTAATATGATTATCAGTCCCACCTATTTGTTTTATATCTCAAAGAGGGTAAGGTTAACCATATCAAAACAGAACAGAACGTTTAAAAGAAAATAAAAAACAATTTAAAGAAATACAGATTTCAAAGCAAGTCCACTGGAGATCTTCCTTATCTAACTGTCTCTAGCTTCTTACAAATAGTTGTCCCTAACTTCACCCACTTTATATACTTATTGCATATTATAGAACTAATCAAATCATTACAGGATGATGAAGTCTTTTTAGGTCCTCAAGTTCCAAATTAGGGAAGACAGTAGCAACTACCATCGCATCTCTCATTCTCTTTGTGATAGCCGTCCCCATCTCTGCATATGCTGAAGTTGAGCTGAAGAAACCAGTCCAATGTCATTCTAATCAGCAAACAATAGATTGCTAGAATTTATATTATAATGCTACAAAATAAGCCTCGGGTTTTTCAGGTCTCTTCCTCAGAGTATTTGTTCCTATCCCCTCTGTATTATAGGGAAAACCAAGTCATAACAAGACAGCGAAACAATTTCCTAGAAAAACATGCAATGGATAAGACTTATAAAACTATAATATAAATGATCTTCCGTAGCTACTATGTTTTCTCTTGTTATTTTCAATAGATTTGTCCACAACACTGGCTTATTATAGTTAAACATACTATCACCTATTTTTATAAAAACTTATCTTTGACTGCATTGTAGTATTTGAGAGCTGTTACTGATTCATACCAGTATGGATATCCTTTACATCTTGTCATGCTCAGAGTAGTTTCCTCTACTTTTAGGGTTGATTCTAACACGCATACTGATTTCAAATAGGATCAGACAAGACAAACCAATAGTCTTATGATTCAGATACAATTAAGATCAGTCATAGTAAGACAATGTAAGTAATACAGGATTTCAGCCTAAGTCAATAGGAAAGTAAGGATAGTTACCATGGTATAACCTGCTATTTTTGGTTCTAGAGGTCTGTGTCCTCAAATCTGACATGAGTGGACAGACCAGAACAAATTTAATTCAATCTAAATATGGCACTAGGACTACAAGCCAGGATGTTTTGTGATCTGCCCTTGACCCACATGGCCAAAATCAGGGTGGGGAAGGCCAGACTAGGTGATGGTACTGCCCCTACCCCACAAGCTGATGCACCTCAGTCAAATCCCCCTTCCATCAATCCAGGGTCCATCTATGTCCTAGAGACTTGAGTGGGCAAGACTGACCTCTTTATTTTTGCTGTCAATCTGGCAAAGAAGTCTCTAAGTAGCTCCCAAACACCAAAATCTCTTCCTATACCCGTTTCATTACGGATGGTTAAAAAACATTCCCTAGCTTGCCCTCTCTCATGCAGATTTTTATATACTCTGATACTTCCATCCAAGAAAACGAAAGAGTCAGAGTGGTGGAGGGGCTCACACCTACACATGGCGTGGACTCAGATGGATTTGTTCTTTGAGTGTGGATGTCTTTCAGTGATACAAGTGCATTTGCAGCTCCTCTGCCAGGCCAATGAGCAAGCTGGGCTACTCAGCCCAGTGATTCTGAATTCTTTTTTTTTTTTTTTTTTTTTTTTAATTTTATTTAAAAGGAAAAAGAGAGAGAGAAAAAAAAAAAAAAAAAACCAGAACAAAACAAAACAGTGTAAGGGTACAAGTAATACAGAACTACAAAAAAAACCCCAAAAAACCCAGTAAGATATCACCAGTTAATAGATTACACACTATCATCTTAGAGACAGTGGTTCAGATCACAGGACCAAAGCATACAAAGTGAACATTCAAACAATGAGACTGCAAACAGTTGTGTTCAATGATCCATTCAAAAACATTAATATGGTCAGCTATTTAACACCTAAACATACTTGCTGTTGTATCCTTTAGGGCACTTTTTTTTTTTCCTCTCTTTATTACAACAAAATTTACACATTTTGGGTTTTATTGCTCCCATAGATCTTATTACTTTTTTTTTTTTTTGGAAGAGAAAAAAATCAAACATGATAAAACAAAGCTGTCCGTGAAAACCAAGGACAGTCACAGCACATGATGTAAAAACAGAGTACAACGTTATCAACAATGGTTTCCATAATGCCTTTTGCTTCCTTAAGAAGAATTGTCTATCTCATTAGGTATTATAAAGTTGAACAAAACAGTAGAGAACAAAACAAATAAAACCTAAACATTGTAAACATTACAGAACTTCAAAAGAGAATAATAGTCAAACCAGAATGGGCATCATAGTTAATCTTATTGCCTTCAAAGTAGTTGCCTATACTCTGATACTTGATACTAATCATACAGAACGGAACAGAGTCTAATCAGTCAAAACAAGATAGTGGGAGTATTACAGGACTTCAAATCAAGTTAATAGGAAACTAAAAAAGCTACTGTAGTATATCCTGCTAGTATTTTTGATTTTTTTCCCCTTAGTTTAAATGATTCTGAATTCTTTACCTTCTGTAAAATTTCCCGCAGCAGCTCAGAATCTGGTGATTCCTTTAATTTCTCTTCCAGGCTCTATTTGAAGGAGAAAGAGAGAGAGAGAAAGAAAAAAGTCTTAAGAGCATTTTTCCAGGAACATTAAACATGCAGTGGAACATGTTGGCAAAGTGTAAGGGATCTATCCTTCGAGACCTGGAGCCAACGGGAAGTGGAAGCCTGACCTTCAGATGTCACAGGTCACACTGGCTGAATCAGGGAAGAATGTCAGAAGGCCGACTCCTGCTTTGCAGTCTCCCTGGCTGCTCAGGGGCCACACATGTCACAGAGCAGCTTTTAGCTGAACTAATAAGCTAGGAATCAGGAACCACAGCATCAAGGCTTCACAGGCTTGCCTGGCACCTGACATCTGGGTTAAAACTGGAGACTCAGAATACGCAGATGCTAGGCCCAGCCATATTTTTCTACTTTATAGAGGACCTGAGCACAGTAGTACCCCAGTCAGACAGACTGTCTTAGCTGAGATATGAGGCCGGGGAAAACCACTTCTTTTCTCCAGATGTACTTGCCATGCTCTAAAAGGCCCTTCAACACCTAGTCCTGTCCCATCCCTGCACACTCCACCCTAGCCACAATGGTCCGTTTTGCTCCTTAAACGTGGCATGCTTGTTTCTGCCACAGGGCCTTTGTACTTCCTGTATCACTGTTCAGGTATCAGTTCAAATGCTGCCTTTCTGGGGAGATCTTCTCTGACTCTTCTACTCTGATGAGTCTCCCTCAGTTGCTTCATTTTCAATTTCTCTGTTATTGGCTTTATGGTCACTCATCTCTTGCCATTTTCTGGTTTATTTGTTCTCTTTGCTTGTGATGTGTGCTGCTGACCCCTGGTGTCTGGCTCATGGGAGGCATTCAGTGAATGTTGGGTGACTGAAAAATAATACTAGGCACTGAACCCAATGCCTTTTGTTTTGAGAGAATCCTGACAACAGCCCTGAGGTCGGTATCATTGTATCCCTCATTTTATTAATTAAAAATCATGGCCCAGAGAGATGTAGTCACTTGTCCAAGGTCACACAGCATGTATGAGACTGAGTTAGATTCAAAGCAAGGTTGTTTTCCTGGACTGCACTCGGCTCTTTTCCTCACTAAATAACCTCTCAGCCTAAGTGACAATAATATTCCCACCTTTTGGGTGTTGGGGTGAATCTATGTAAGCACTTCAACACGGGCACGTGAGCACTGGTATCTGACATTGGATCAGGACTAGTTTCAATTTTGAGTTAAAAATGCACATATTCCTCTTGACCAGAAATGATCTCTGAGTACTGAATGTTTTATGTCGATGAGATAAATGACTAACCATCAGTCCCCAGGATGGGGCCGCCCGGGGAGGGTATGTCTTCAAACTGCCTCATCAGTGAGCTTACCGCACATGAATTATAGACGATGCATGGTCCATTAAGCCCTTCCACTGACACAAGAGACCACTCACAGTAACCAGAACCGCAGGACTCCAGGGCGTGTGTATGTGGCGCCCATCAGAGGCCTCTTTCGCATCAGGTTATCTTTGAGACGGTGAGGCCGTGCCTTGACACTCGGATGGCGATACCGGTGACGGCGCTGTAACCTGACCCTCACACTCAAGACCGTGATTCCTTTCTTAGCGGGCGAGGGCAGCTGTGTAACAATGACCACAGTGACCAATTGACTAAAGACCATGGCCATGATCCAGGACCCTTTTTAAAAGCCTGACCGAAAAGGCAAGCGGGAGGAAATCCTCCTCCTTCACTCGGGGCACCGGACTGCAAGGGGGGGGGGGCACGGGAGGGCCCCGATTCCCGCGCCAGAGGTCTGCCCGCACCTCTCGCCCGCCCGCCGTCGCAGCGCGACCCCCGCACCTGCCAGGGGAAGGAGCGCAAGGGACGCGCCGCCAGGAAGCGGCGCTCGAAACTCCGCAGCAGGCGCACGTTTCCGACACTCTCCTCCGGCGCCATGGCGGGGCGGAGCCAGCGTTGCCGGGAGACGGGCGGAAGCGGGAGGCGCCTGCCGGATCCGGGGCGGGGCCAGGGGGGGGAATCTTCCTTATGGGCGGGGCCAGGCTGCCACGCGGTATTTGGGGCGAGCCCGGGATGACAATTTTGGGGCGGATTGGGGTAGGGTTGCGTGGGGTGCTCCGGTCCCGGAAGCGGGGGTTTAGGGCGAGGCCAAGGTCAGACAAGGGGCAGGGTCCGGGAGGCGGGTCTCGGTGGGGCCGTGAACTCGGTGGTGCTAGCGAGTAGTCAAGCGAGGCTCCGAGAGTCCAGGAAGGAGGAATTTAGGGAGGGGCCTACCTAACCGGGGGTTTGGGCGTGCTCAAGGCCGGGCGCGGCGCTCAGGAGACGGGGCGATTGGGCGGGATCGGGGGCCCGAAGGCGGGGCCTCTGCTGGGTGGGGTCTGGGCCCAGCAGGCGGGCCTTGGAGCAGGACCTGCACCCCGCCACTCTGAGACCCCCGCAAGGCGCGTCCTGTTTTTTCTCTAGCCTTTGGGTCTGTCAAGGTCTTTCGTTCGCCAAATGCTTATTAAGCACCTATCACACGCTTGGCACTGTCAGGACGGGCTATAACAATGGGAAAAAGCAGTTCTGGGTTGTGCCCTGTAGGACTCAGAGCCTTGTAGAGGAAGTGTGCAACGAAACAATTATCGAAAAGTGCAATAACAATATCTGCCATGAAAGAGAACGCACAGAACTAAGACAACTTTCAGTAGTTGCGCTGATCCTGCAGGGAGTGGAATTCGAAGAAGAGAGTAGGAGGAGTCGGCTCCTGGGGGTGGCAGAGTGAGTTGGGACCGGGGAAGGTGGGAGAGGAAAAACAATTATTTGAAGTCAAAGTTAGTGCGTTGAGTCGAAAGGTAGAGTACCTAGCAACCTAGCGGTGCTGCCCCTAGAATTTTCACTGTCCTCTGGTCTAAAGTGTTTCTTTAGCAAATCTCTTGGAAAACTCCTTGAGCTAGTTTGTTAAATATGCTTGCAGAAGGTAGACAAGGGGACATACTAAATCTCATTACCTCCTTCATAGGAGAAACACTTGAACCCTGCTTAGCTATGAGGGCAAGAGGAGAATTAATTCTATTTGGATGCAACTGTTCCGTTGTTCTTCTGCAGAACCAAGTGAACACAGAGCAGATTCCCCTCCCCTCCAAAGTAAATCTTTTGTTCTCTGACAGTTGTTAATTTAAATAAAGAGAATGGACTGTAGTTTTACATAGAATGAACAGTTGGTTAGTTTCAAAAGTACACAAATCCTCTTAGTGGAGATATCCTTAGGCTGTTACTTGAGATAACCCTTTGTGTCTTCACAGGGCTGGGTCTTGGTGGCTTCAGAGGTAGGGCGGAAACGCTGGTTTGTGCTTGCTGTTTGGATCAGCTCTCTGCCTGCAGTAAATAATGCAAACCAATGGAAATGGGCTAGGCACATTCATAAATCCTGGTCTTCTATTAAATCACTTATTAGTTATTAGTTACTGTCCCTCTCTGGAACAAAATGTTAGGTACAGTTGGTGCCATACGCAGGATTATATGATGTTCTCCTAAGATACTGATAAACCCCGAACTGGTTTAACCTTTCCTGATGTCACAGAGAGCAGCAGATGCAGAACGACCCTGCCTGGGCCACAGAACTCACTTGGACACAGAAGACACCTTATTTTGTAGTGTAGGATCTCAGGAGGAACAAAGATCACAAATCTTAGGTCTGAATCTGGATGGATCAGAGCACTGAAGGAAGTTTTAAGGTCCTGCGGGCTCACAGGGGTGGTGTGTTTAGTTGTGACAGGATTGCTGCCTAAAATGCAAGTAATAAGTCCAATTGGCATTGATCTATTAAAAGAGGGAATATGTACATGAACTAGAGTAACAAATTCAAATTCTGGATTTGAGGCTTTCTATCTAATAATAACCTAATGTATTTTGGCTGTATGGAATAGTTGCCTTTTAGAGATTATGCTGTAGGCATGGTAATTCAATCAGTACAGTGAGGTTTTTCTTTTATCTCTCCTGTTGCTAATAGTTTCTGTAAAAAAGGACCAATTGATTTCTTTCTAAAATGTTGCTTCAGGGTAGAGAAACCTTTATAGGTCATGTTTCAACTTATAGGAAATTTTTATAGTTCAAATATAAATTGCACTAAATGTGGACTCTATAATGAAATTTAAGTTTAAGTAAAGTTCTAACTTTCCTTAGGCTGTTTCTAAGGTGTGTTCAGCACTCCTCCATCAACACAGCTGCTGCGTTAAAGTGTGGTCAGGATTGAATGTAATATGGAATATAGGAGTCCCAGTTTAATGATTTAACTGTTGACACACAGAAGGAGATGCATCAGGATCATATAATACTTTGGTTGGTGGCAGGACCAGTGTTAAGGGTTGAATTATATCCCCCAAAAAGATAAATTGGAAGGCCTAACTTCTGGTACCTAGGAATGTGAACTTATTTGGAAATGGGGTCTTTGCAGATGTAATGAAGTTAAAAGTAAGCCACAGTAGATTAGAGGGGACCCTAAATCCAAGGTCTGGTGTCTTTTGTTGGGGGAGGGATAGCAGGAGTGCAGAGCAATACCCACAGCCCGTTTTTATTTTTTATGATGATCCCATGTAGCTATAATCTGAGGCATGTGCCACTATGCCCCTGGCTTTCTGGTGTGCTTATAAGAGAAATGCATGCTGTGTGATATCAAAGACACAAGAAATGACCTTGAAATGATCTTGGAGGTAGCTTCTGGATTAATGCAGCTACCATCTAAGAAAGCCAAGGATTTCCAACAACACCAGAAGCCAGAAGGTGCCAAGTTGCCACGTTGCCACCTCGACTTCTACCTTCATGCTTCTGAGACAATAAATTTCTGTTGCTATAATCCACCTAGTGACCAAAGCCTTAGGAAAGAAATACAACTGTCTGGATAATTTTTGGGATCCAGCACACAGTGAAAATGTAGGATCTTTGTTAAACAGTCAAGATTTTAAGATGGTGATAGGAGGTTAGTAAATCACTCTATGGACTCTTTAGAGCACTGGCCCCTTTGGCAGGTGCATGTTGCCTGCCTGGGAAGCTGGCCCAGTGCTGCCCCCTAGCGCCCATAAGACGTGGTTGCAATGGATGCTTTGAATGAATAGTGATCAACCACAGGAAACCCAAAGATCACTCATTCGCTTCTTTTTCTGATGAGTGGCTATGTTTGTCACACTGGTCACACACAGAACCATGAGACCTCCTGTGACGACACTGAGCCCAATTTCAATGTTATGGAGAGCAGATTCTCTCTGAGCCTCCCATCTTTAAATTGCCTGACGTTAAGATGTTGTTCTGGCTGCTCTCGGTCCCAGGGAAGTTTCCTATCCAGACACAAGTGAATATTAATTATGGAAATGCGATGTACATTTAGCCCGTGAAAGTGCTCACTGCAGAGAACTCTCAGAGGACGAGTTGTTGAAAGCGAATTTACTAAATGATCTTTTTGCCAAATGACCCATTTGCCTAATGAGCCCTCTATTAAATGACCAATTTGCTGAAAATTGGTTTGTGGGATGTCCTGCTTACCAGTGACTGACACACACCTTTCTTCCCCAGGCTCCTGGCAGGGATAATGGTGAGACATTTGCAGCAAAACTAAATCTCAAAGAGAATTTGTTGAATTGTTCATTCATTTAGTTTTCTGCCACATGAGCTACTTCCTGTAGATTCCTAGGAAACTCCATGGGCAGTGGCTTAGAAGGGAAGAGGTTTGTATCTTTTTGAGCAAACTTGCTTTAAACTTTTGATTAATCACTGGGCAGCTCTTACATCTCTTCTGTAGAAGAAAAGATGACCAGTGTTTGCAGAAGACAACCTTCCTTCATATAACTCAGATTCAGGATTTTGGAGTCTTAAGAATTAGCATGATATGTACCTTTCTGCCAGCAGTGAGTGAGGGCTTTGCTCCTGCACTGAGGCAGCTGTCTGTACAGCTGAAAGAAGCTTGATCTCTATCAAAAAGGTGCATCTTGGGGCACACAGTTCCCTGCCAACCAGAAGGATTATCACTGAACTCTGTCTATGGAGTGCCTTCCTACCGCCTAAAGGGCACATGGAGAACATGACCAAGTCCAAGGATTCCCTGCTATCTTGTCTGAGAGAGCTGTTATCTCTGGTTCCAAAGCCACTTGGAAATAAGAGTGCTCTGTTTGAATTCCTCCCCCTCTTAGGGGTCCTCTCTTTGGTTTTTTCCTATCTCAGAGCAGATTTGTCTATGTTGACAGTTTTGTGTCTCACCTGGTGACTGGGAGTGTTAAGTTCAGGAGCATCTGTGCCAGGAAGTCACCTCTAAGAGCCTGCACATCAGGGCACAGATATGTAGCTGCTAGTCATCACCAGATGCTTATTTTTTTTTTGGTACCAGAGATTGAACTCACAACCTTGCACTTACCAAGCAAGCACTTGAACCACTGAGCTAAATCCAAGGCCCACTGCCAGATGATTCTTAAAATCTTGCCCCGACACTCTGAATATGGTTTTTGTGTCCATGTAGGTATTATTATTATTATTTTTTATTGGTATCAGGGATCGAACTCACGACCGCGCACTTGTGAGGCAGGTGCTTATGCCGCTGAGATAAATCCCCAGCCATGTAGGTATTATTAAAACTATGATCTCCTTTGTTGAAATATAATCCACTGAAAAAAATGATAAAAAAGCCATTTTAGATTCCAGTCTCCTAAAATAAAACTGTTAACATCATACTTGTAAGATTCTATGGAATTATGAATTAGAGGACACTGCTTTCTGCAGTGACAGATAGTACCAAGAGATTAAAGATCTTTAAGAAAGAGAATAAAGAAAGCATCCTGTTAGAAACACCAAGAAGAAGCCGAGGGTGATGGCCCACTCCTGTAATCCTAACACTCAAGAGGCTGAGGCAGGAGGATCATTGCGAATTTGAGACCAGCCTAGGCTACTAAGTGAGCCCAAGGCCATCCTGAACTGCAGAGTGAGACTCTGTCTCAAAAACAAAACAACAAAAACACCAAGAACATAATCGCCATGCTGACAACAATAATAAACTCAAATGTATAGC